AATGCTCCCTCTAAGCTGTAGAGTCTTGTGAGCAAAAATTCTACTTTGTGAGCTGCTGGCATTAAAGTTGTGAGCAGATGATTTGGCTCCTGCATAAATTAGTTTGCTCTGGAGCCCTCCTTCCTGAGCTGAGACAAAAATGTGTGAGCCGGAGGCTAAAAAACTGTGAGCTGGCTCACGCTAACTCAGCTTAGAGGGAACACTGGTCGTGAAGCATTTCTTTCTGCAATAAACCCATCCGTTTCTACACACATCAATGTGCAGGTACCATTCCAGGCAGGGGGACTCTGCATGGCAATTATATGACAGTATTCCAAAAGAGTGCAAGACATCCTCAGAAGAGTCTTCAGCAGGTCATGCGGTCCAACAGAAGAAGGGTCCATCCAATCACACCGGGGTCCCCCCCGGGGATCTTGAGCGAGACTAGCAGCAATAGGTCACAGTGCATAAGCCCTCCATCCTGCAAGCGCCTTTAAATGCCAAGGCGGAAGGTGGCCAAGGTTCCCTCGAAGCTGAGTTAGTGTGAGCTAGCTCGCGGTCTTTTCGCCTCCGGCTCACACATTTCTGCTTCAGCTCAGGGAGGAGGGCTCCAGAGCAAATTAATGGGTGCAGCAGCCAAATCGCTTGCTCACAATTCTTGAATGCCAGTAGCTCACCAAGTCGGATTTTTGCTCACAAGACTCCACAGCTTAGAGGGAGCATTGGTGGCAACTGGCCACAGATACCTTTTTCAGTTGATGCTCAGTGTTTTAAAACTGGGCACCGTTGCACAGCTCCAGAGTGAAATTAACCGGAACATTACAGCGATGGTGCAGCCCCAAGGGAAAGCCCCCCCCCCCCCGTTTTCATTTTCGCGGTGCCCGCCCCCCCCCCCCCGTTTCATTCTGCTCGAGTCCGCAGTTTCTTAAAGAACCCTTTTCCAGCCCTTCGGGGGGAGGGGGGAGGCTCCGAAACTGCAGGCAACGGTGTGGGCACCATACCTGAAAATCGAAAGGGCCCGTCTCACCGCACAGATGCATTCTGGGCGATGTAGTCGCTGAAGCCTTCGGCCTGTGCCTGGATTCCGGGACAGTGGAGAGGACGGAAACTACAATTCCCAGATGCCTGTGCTAACACGAGGGTGCCTGTGTATGCCCCTCCTGGAGAGGCTGTGCTTTTAGATTAGATTTTATAAACCTTTATTGGGTCGTCTTTTATCCTCCCCCCCCCCAAAAAAAAAAATACTAAATGCTGCAACTCAAAGCAATGGTGCCACAGCCTTCCCCCTTCTTGCAGTGTCCCAATGTCTCTTTTAAAACCTGTTTTTTAAATTGATTGGCAAGTTTCGTGCCCAATCACGTTGACGTCTATCAACTTTAATTGGTCAAACAGCTGAAAAGGGTGGAATTGCAATCCAGTTCTCTAACGGGCAGCATGCTTTAGAAAATACCAAATTTAGAGAATCTGTGTTTGCTTTTAATCATTGTTTGGCATTTATGGTCCGTTTGTAGAGGTGCGGATTCATTTATGGTCACTGAGCTGTGTGTACAGGAAATGTACTGTAGTTTATTTTTTATATTCTGCTTGACTCACTGAGATTTGTAAAATCAAACAGGTGGAATGGGGAAGGTGTGATGCAGACTTGATTCAAGTGCCAAACAGATTTCAAGACACACAAAGGGCTGCTAGATTACAACTATCCTGTGAAGTGAGTGAGGCTGAGACTGCCTGTAGGGACTTGAACCTGGGTCTCTTAGGTCCAGCAGTATAGTTATACACTTGCTGAGTGGAAGAACAGCTATTACTAAGAAGAGAAGAGGAGACTGGATTTATACCCCGGCCTTCACTCAGAGTCTCAGAGCGGCTTACAAACTCCTTTCCCTTCCCATCCCCACAACAGACACCAGGTAGGTGAGGCTGAGAGAGCTCTTTGAGAACTGCCCTTTCAAGGACAGCTCTTGTCAGAACTATGGCTTGCCCAAGGTCATCCAGCAGCTGCAAGTGGAGGAGTGGGGAATCAGATGCGTTTCTCCCAGATTAGAGTCCGTGCTCCTCACTTCACAAAACCACTACCCCCAAAGTATCACAGAGCAGCACATTCATGCGACTTGCAGTCTACTCCACTGGAATGAGCTACTGTTCCTCAAATGGAGAGAAACAAATTCATCTCACACATCTGTACGCTTTCCTAATAATTTATGTTACTTATTTGCCTGCAAAACTCTCCGATATTACAAAAGTAGCCAAGCGCTCTGCTGTGTGAACCCCTAGGCAGAGAAGGCACAGAGCCTGCGCTTTTATCAGCGCCATTTTTAAAGCCACAGTTGGGACAATTGTGAGGAGGCCTCTTCTGACCCATAATGACACAGCAGACACATTTATTCTTTAAATGTAGTTTATGTCATTTAAATGTAGTTTATTCTTCTTAGAATGACTTGGAAATCTTTTCTGCGGCTGGCCTGCGCACCCACACAATGTGTGCCGGCACAGATGCCGTGACGATGGATCCTGAAAGCGCTGCAGAACTGACTTGCTGCTTCAGCCATGATTCTGGTTCACCTGCTCTCTCAGGGATCTATATCATGTTCAGCTCCACACAGTTGGGCATAGCGTCCGCACAGGGTCTTGGCACTTCCTTCCTCTCCTCAGTAGGAGGAATCCCGAAGGCACTGCAGCGTCAAGGAGCCAACCTCCTGTGCTCTTCAAGGGCCAGATAATAACTCTGCTGCCTCAGGAATGACTTATTTCTGGTTCTTGGAAGCTGCTTTTTGAAATGGTTTTTCTAAAAAACAAAAATTGTTTCAATACAAATACGTTTTAAAAGAGCATTCACAATACCAGGTCTTGAATAGCCAGGTACTATGTCATGGCAACAAAAGGGTTCATGCAGATGTGCTTATGACACTGAGCTGGACGCAGCACAAAGGCAAAGTGCTTACCTCACCGGCTCCAGCAGAAGACTTCTCTAGCAAAGGGCCACTGCCTGGCGCAGCTACCATGGAATTCCCTCTCCCAGGGGAGGGGGGGGAGGAGGCAGGGGAGGGGTCAGCCACAGGCCTCCCATTCCACGCGTTCCTCTTGGGAAACGATGGAATGGGAGGTCCGCAGCTGGCATAGCCCTGGTTCCCTTTCCGTCACCACCCCCAATCACTCCCTGTTCCATTCCCACTACCGCCCCAGCCATTGCTTGGGGCACTGGAGGGAGTGGAATAAGGAATGGCGGGGCCAGTGGAGGGAAGGGGAGCGGGGACAGCAGGGGCGGGTAAGTTAGTGGGTTAGTGGAGGTGGGTCAGTGTGGATGGCGGAGGGAAGGGAAGAGGGGGATGGGGCAGGGAGAGGAAGAAAGGGAAAGAAGAGGAGTTGGAGTGGTGGGAGAGAGGAAACAGCAAGCAGTAGGGATGGTGGAGCTAAGGGGTCAGAAGGCAGAGGGGAGCTAAGGGGCCAGAAGACACAGTCGGAAGTCAGAAGAGAGGAAAGAGAGACAGGGTTAGTGGAGGAGGGGGTGCCGGTGAGCTGGGGAGGGGAGGGGAGGGGAGGGAAACCCCAGATCACTGCATCTTCAGCACACCCTTCGCCGATCTTGCTGTTTCTGGAGCCTCTGAAACAAGACAAATAAAACAGCAGTTATAAAAATCTGTTCAAAGCCGCCATGAAGAAAAACTCCACTCTGGACTGCCAGTCTTTCAAAACTAAACCGGTCAAATGCCGTCTCCAATAAAACTGTCTCCATCTGCCTCCTCCCCACCTCCTGCTTCACCGCCAACCGTCCTTCTCCCCATCAACTCCCACTTTAAGATTCGCCATTGGCCCTCTGGGTGGCTTACAAGGAGCCCATCGGTGGCGGGCCTCTCCCTTTGCAGCCTCTGCTGTGTGACTCCAACTGCCAAGGCTCGAGCCTATTTATACACCTCTGTCTGGGGGTGGGGGGCTTTGTGATGCGGGCCTTGTGACATCAGCATCTGGCAGACAGGGACCAATCTCTGGGCAGCATGGCCGATGCGGGGGTGGGGGTGGGGAGGAGGAGGACGGGGCTCAGCCACGGGACCTCAGGTTGTTCAAAGAGCGAATGGACATCTTGCGGTTTGAGGATCAGACAAGCAGTAGCTGGTCAGGGCTACCTTCTTCTGCACTGAGGGAAGGAATTTTTTCCTAGCAGAGGGATGTGAAATGTTGAGTTCTGGCAGATCAGGATTTACTGAAGGCTTGAAAAGTTGACATCTGTAATTTGAAAGTGAAATACCAACTCTCCCCCTTTTTAAAACTTTGCTTTACGATTGTTTTACATGGCTTGTTCTTTGAGCTATAGAGAAAAATGGTCTGGAAACACCTGTCAAAATAAGATTGACAAAATGAAGACTGTTCTGGAAAATCCCTCCTAAGCCAAACTGCCTTCTAACTACCCTTCTCTCCAGCTACAGACAGGACGGGGAAGGATTCCACCCTCTTTTCTCCCTGTTCTGTGAGGGGAAACTGGACTCGAAGGGCTGAGTGGAAGGGTGAAGTGAGGAAATATCACAACTCAAGCATCAGGCGGCCTTACTGTCAGCAACCGAAGGACAGAGAGGGGCAGGTGGGTTTGGGAGAGGAAAAGGACAGGAGGTATCCTGGACCAGGCGGGGAGTCCGGAAGGGACCGCAGTGTTTGATTTTGACAGGCAAAGTTTGGGTGCTCTTCCCAGATAAAAACAGCGAACTTGCTCAAGCTGTCTGGTTATTGTTCTTGAAGGCAGTGCGGTCAAAAAGACTAACTTCTAAGTATCCCAGCTCCGGCCTCCCACTCCATCGGCTCCTGTTGGGGACCAACGGAAGGGGCAACAGAGTTCCTCAGAGGGTCCGTCGGGATGAGGAATGGTGGGGGTGGCTGGAGGGAGGGGAATTGGGGACCTTAAAGGTGGTTAAAGGGAAGGAGAACAGGGGCGGGGTGCAGGGTAAGGATTTGGGGTTTGTGGTGCTTGGGGAAGGAGGAGAAGAATTTGCCACTCCCTCATATGTCAGGTTCCTAGCTTCGCTACGGTATTTCAGTTCCATAAACCCCGTTACAATACTGATGATGTGAAGTCTGAAATGTAACATTTGTTGTAGGAATTCTAATGGAGAAGACTGCAATGTAAAAAATGAAGTGAGACACACGTACTGTTTTTTCTCTCTACTGAAGGACCTCTCTGTGGACCACACTGTTTTGCTCACATGGAGACTGTGTTGTTCTGAGCACCTCAGGGTGATCTTGCTGGTACTTGGCCAGCGCAGCTCAGTGCACCTCAGAGGTACTCTGTGCAAATGTCTTTGCCACATCCCTAAGTTGCCTCCTCCTTGTAGCGTTGGTGTATCCGGCTCAACGTTTGCCAGGAGCTTTCTTGGGGCAGTAAGAGGGGAGAAGTGTGTGTGGGGGGGAGTTGGTTTGAGGGAGTGGTGATGTGGTGGACATTTCTTCAGGGTTCATGAGGGAGGAGTGCCTCAAAACGGCTCCTAGAAAGGCCCTTTACAATCTCCCCATGAACATTCATAACCTCAATTGCTGTGCTGGCTGTTAGGAGAAATGTCTATTCAGGAGTCTTGAATCGCTGATTTCTGTAACTGTCCTCAACTATCTGCAGTCTCTTTTAACTGTCTTTTTACCTCGGAACATTGAGATCCACGGCTGAGCAGTCAGAGGGAGGTGGGTGCAAGCGGAACTCAGAACTCTGAGCTACACAGTTGGCCAATTAAAGGGGGGGGCAAGGAGGCAGCAGCCTGCCAGGCACCTGGGAAACAGTTGGGCGAACACATTTTGCCCCTTTTTTACCCCTTTAGGGGTCGTGTTTCTCAGAAATCTCTTTGTAGTGGGGGTTGACATCATGGAAGGAACGCACTCCGCTTATTTTGGGTTTCTTGGTGCAGGGATTTGGCCTGGGCATTGAATGTTGGTTGAGGACAGCGATGGTTCCATCTTGGCTGGCACCCTCCCCTGTTGTTTACATCTCTTTTGCCCCCTCCCCCCTGTCCATGAAGTAGCCAGCAGTGGGAGTTGGAATGAGGGTTGGTTATTCACCATCTGATTGTCTTTTATATTGTACTAAATTACGTAATTTTATCTTGTTTTATCTCTGGTTGTACATCACCCAGAGCCCTGCAGTAGCAGGAGTCGGGCAATTCATAAATATAATAAATAACAATAATAATAAATAACTTGGGGGAGGGGTGCAGGGCATACCCTTTTTTTCTTTACAAAAATGCTTCTCCTTTATGTTACATTTAAGAAGTGGGACACAACTATGTATTCAAAACAACGTCCGAGCAATCAGATATTAAGCAAGTTCATTTGAAGCAATTGTCTAGAACCCACATTGTGAGAAGTTAAATAACCTAATACAGGAAACCACTTTTCCACAAATTTGGGGTATATTTCCATAGTGGGTGAGAGTGTGTCTAATGCCATTGGGGAGGCTGGTCTAGCAGCTTTGCTAAGGTGTTTCTTCTTGGGTGGCCTCCCTGATGGATGTACCCTGGCCCTGCTCCTACACCTGACAGACACCCGCCTGTCTGGTGTTGGGGGTGTCTGTGTCTAAAGGCATCAGGGAAGCTGGGCCAGCAGCAGCACTAAGGCAATCCTGCTGAGCAAGTCTCCCCGACAGATGTGAGCATCCCACCCCCTCTCCTAGATCTGACAGGCAGCTGCCTATCCAGTGTAGGAGGGGGGAGGGGTATTGCAAGCCACTGTGGAGGCTGGGCCAGCAGGATTGCTAAAGTGTTACTACTGGGGTGGGCTCCCTGATGGCTTTAAGCACCCTGCACCCATTGCTGCACCTGACTGCTGCGCCTGTCAGGTGTAGGAGGGGGGGAAACATGTTTGAAGTCATTGGAGAGGCTTTATTCAGCCACCACTATTTATATCCTCCAGGCCCCCAGTGGGGGTCAGTCACCAGAGGTCACCATGACTTCCAGGTGCACACACACATGCACAGAAATGCACATATGAAAAATACAAAAAAAAGAAGAAGTGAGCAACCAGAAAGGCAAATCAGAAGATTCTCTTTGCTATGAAATAAGTAAAGCCTTGATATATTTCTCCTCCAGAGTGATTGTTTCTAATCTACAATTACGGCACCAGGTATTTTCAGAGAAACGGTTTCTTTAAAAAAATTGGCATAATCTCCAACATTTTACAATGGAGGAATAAATCAATTCCCAACCTTGTCGATTGCATTCCACCCTAGGCTGTTCAAGAGTGCACTTTGTATGTCAGTTTGGAAACATCAGTTGGTACAGACTGCTAGTTTGGTTACTATCAGGAGTAGGGCAGAGTATGTGTAGTACACACCCATCCTGCAGTCCCTCTGATGGCTACCTGTAAGTTATCAGGTTCAATTCAGGATCCCAGTGAGCACATACAGAGACAGTCGTGGCCTTGGGTCTTCATACATGCTGGGCGACTTCTCCCACTATGCTCTGCAGTGAAAGCTTTGCTCATCTGAGCAGAGCCTTTGGAAGGTACCACCCTACGAATGGGTAAGATCAGCCAGTGCCTGTACGTGTACGTTCTCTGTTGTGGCCCCCAACTCGTGGAATGGCCTGTTCAAGATCATTTGGACGATGTTCTGTCTGAACAGGAAGTCACAGAATGATTCCGGAGCGTGACTCCCATAACGAACATGTAAATAATGGAACATGAGCTATACAGCTTCCAGCCGTATTAACAAAGACAGATCTGGACAGCTGCCAATTACAGGATTGTCTACAAACGTGTGAATGGATAACCTCTGCACCAACTCAGATTTATAGGCGAGCAAACTCCAGAATAATTTAATTCCAAGATGGATGAAAATCATCTAAGAGGCACGCTTACAGGAGGTATTCCTTTCTCTTAATGGGTCTTCCCCACCCATTTCCTGCCTGCCTTCCTTCCTTGCCCTGCATTTGATGGTACCTGTGCAGTTCATGCTATAAAATCAGATTTCGACTGGGGTCGTATATATTTACCATTCTTGCACGTCTTTGCACTCAACCTATTGCCTTGCTGGCTGTTTCACAAGGCATTTCAGCATGCTGCGGGGGACACCCTTTTTAAAAAAAAACAAAACCCAAAATCAAAATTCTGCAAAGCGATAAAAAGTTTTATTCCGTTAAATTGTTTTGCATTCTTAACAGCAGATGTGTCCTATGCTGAATAGCAGACAGTATTGACCAGTGTTTTACCCATGTTCCCATGAAAGACGTCGGCCAGTCTGTTTTGCTGATCCTAAATCTGGTGACATTTCTATTCAATGCTGCAGAACGCAGGCTCAACTCAGCTGGATTCTGAATGTATATGTGAAGAAGACCAGAGGCCTCAGGTAAATACGATGCTTTTAATTCAGAAGCTTTTTTGATTTCTTCTTTCTTTGTTTTGCAGTCTTAGCTTTCTTTCCTTTTCTCATGTTTGCTTTGAGTTTGTTCTTCTTTGGATTCAACTTCTGGCCCCCGCTGAAAAACAAGGCAAGCAACCTTAATGATTGCGCTTGCTAGTGCACAACATCAAAACAAATATCCAAACGTATTCAATGGTAAAACGGCTCCAGAAGGAGGAGAAGAACACTTCCCAGAAGCTCAAAGGGTGATCCATTAAAGCACGTTCAAGGGTAGCATCACAGCACCATCAATATCTGCTTCTGAGCGGCAAGCCTGAGGGTGGGTGGGGATGTTCACCCTTACTTTCATTCCTGGCTGCAATGACCAGACAGAGGCAGCGGTAGCAGTCTTTAAACCCAACCAACACAGGCTACAGCCAGCCTCTTCCGGCCCAAACAGAACAGCCTGCTTGGCTTCCTCTCGTTGGCCTTCTCGGCTGCCTCACAACATGCCTTTTTGATCTGCTAGTTCCCAGGGGTCATTTCGTAGAAAAAGAGCTAGGGGGACTCATTAGCATACCTCATTAGCATATGCCACACCCCCTGACATCACCGGAAGTGTGTCCTCCCCACAGCCGGCGGCGACCTCCAGCGGGCACCAGCAGGGAGCTCCAGGCCCCGCCCTCCCGCACCTCACCCGGGGGGATGGCGTCCCCCCGCGTCCCCCCCCAAAATGACCCCTGCTAGTTCCACCCCTGGGTCGAGACTGCCCTCTCCTGTGATAATCGCCTCCACAGATCCTCCCAGAGGGCAGGACTCCTCTCCCCCCTCCCCCGTGTCTCCTTGCCCAGCCTTCGTCTGCCTGGTTGCCAGGCGGTTTGGGCGCTTTCCCTTGCTCCAGAGCCGGGGTTAACCTTGTATTTATTTATTTTATTTATTTATTTATTACATTTATACCCCGCCCTCCCAGCCATGGCCGGCTCAGGGCGGCTTACAACAGCATGAAAACAAGAATAAATAGTATAATAACCATAAAACTATAGAACAATCACAACATTAAAAGGTGCTAATGATAATAATCCAATTACCATTAAACAGAGAACAATTTAACATGACGTTTGAGATGGCGCTCAGACTTCCGTGCCATCCTAGTGGTCAGTGTTCCCTCTAAGCTGAATTAGTATGAGCTAGCTCCCAGTTTCTTAGCCTCCGGCTCACATATTTTTGTCTTGGCTCAGGAAGGAGGGCTCCAGAGCAGACTACTTTATGCAGCAGCCAAATCGCTCGCTCACAACTTGAATGCCAGTAGCTCACAAAGAGGAATTGTTGCTCACAAGACTCCACAGCTGAGAGGGAGCATTGCTAGTGGTCGACCGCGATCTAATATTGTGTGGCTGGCTCAGGCTGCTTCAAGAACTTCAGGGGACAGGGCGTTCTCCCCCGGGGCGGCTCCTAATTGAACGCCTGGCGGAACAGCTCCATCTTGCAGGCCCTGCAGAACTGCATAAGGTCCCGCAGGGCCCTGATCTCCTCGAGAGCCACCGAGAAAGCCCTGGCCCTGGTTATAGCTAGCCTGGCATCCTTTGGTCAGGGAAGGATCAGTCGGTGTTGAGACCCTGATCGCAGTGCTCTCTGGGGAACATGTGGGGAAAGGCGGTCCCTCAGGTAGGTAGGTCCCTGACCATAAAGGGCTTTAAAGGTAAGAACCAGCACCTTAAAGCGAATTCGGTATGCTCTCGGTAGCCAGTGCGATGTCCTCAGCACAGGTTGAATGTCCTCCCATATTGGGAGGCCCATCAACAGCCTGGCTGCAGCATTTTGCACCAGCTGTAGCTTCTGAATTTGCGATAAGGGCAGCCCCATGTAGAGAGAGTTACAGTAGTTGTTTGCTAACACAGACCCCCATCCCACTGGTGAGATTCCCACAAGCTTGTCGTTAGGGACACTGGCTGCCATGTGCTTCTGAATTCTTGGAAATGAGTGGAAGTCCCACAAGCCTTATGAAGACTAACAGCTTCATATATATCGATTTGAAAGAGGCCTGTCATGTAGTACTATCTTTGATGTCTTCATGCTATGAGGGACTTATCTTTGGCTGTTAAAGTGAATGGTTCTTCTTCTGTCTTTACATCATAAAGAAGATGGCTCGGTCCCTTGAAGACTGTATCTCAGCAGGGTTTATGTCCTGCTTGTAATTGCAATTGTATGTCTCTTAATGTAATTATGTACTTTGTGCTTTATTTGCACTTTGCATGACAATTTATAATACTATAAATAATTTTTGGGGGGGAAACAGATTTTTTAAAACATTTTTCAAGGTTGCTTTTGTATGGTTGGTCATTTTTATTACTGGCAACCTTCTCCTTGCTTGTTTGCATGTTAGATTCTGACAGCGAATACACAAACAAGAACCTTAAAGACTAACAGCTTTACAATGCAATCCTGTGCAGTGTTACTCCGACCTAAATCCACTGAAATCAACAGGTTTAGGCTTGAGTAACTCTGCAAAGGATTGCACTGTCATTGTGACTGACAGCCCCACTTCCTCACGTTCATTTGATGACACGGCCTCCAGGTCCACGAAACCTAATGCCACAAATAAATTTGTTAGTCTTTAAGATGCAGCAAGATACCTTTTGATTAGTTGCACATCATAGTTCTTCTTCATGTGAAAGCAGAAATGGCAGGGCAATAAGAATACGAATCCTTGCTGGACACGGAATTGGCCACTACTGATTATGTGTTAATCTGTTAGTCATAACTGCTGAGTTTTTCCCTTTTAGCTTCCACAAAAATAAAATACTCCTTGTCTGAGACCCCGAGCTTTTCTGTGTTCTTAGTTTCCCTGCTTGCGAGTTCCTGTTTCTTTGGGGTTCTCCCCACACACACACACACACACAGCATTCCATGTGTGTTGTTCTCCCTTGAGTGGTTGACGTGATACACAGGTATATGTTCAGCATATCTCCCTGCAGATTTAAACTGCAGGTTTTTATGCCGGACATAAACCTCTCTGATATTGAATCAACCACTCAAGGGAGTAAGACATGTGCAGAACAGAAACTTCACACGCACACCCAGAAGAAACAGGAACTTACAAGTGAGGAAAATGAGAATGTGGAAAAGCCCATTGTTCTACACAAGTGATAATGTGCAGTTTTTACTTTAGGAATGGGACAACACCATCACATCCACTCCCAGTGTGGAAACCCCATTAAGAACTCTGGGATGATAAAAAAGTATTTACAAACATATTTAAACAAATACACAGTGTCTCTGTTTTGCATGAAGAAGCATCCAGTCTGCTTAAAAGAACAACCGTGCCCACATGAATGACTTACCAGCAAACTCTCATAGCTGCACACAGATTAGGGCAGGCGGTGCGCTTGTGGTCAGCTGCTCCACAAACAAAGCATCCGGCATCAGCGTTCTTACAAGAATGACTTGGAAGCGCACAGCGATCACAAACGCGACAGTGAACCCAAGCTACAAAATAAAAGATTGGAGGCCTGAAAACAGCAATAATGAAAAGAAATACCTCAAAGAGAATTCCGAACATGAGGGGAGCTACTCAAAAAGACATTTTAAAGCGCTCTCTGTCATTTATTCAAGGGCATCTCTCTCTTTCTCTAGCACTGCTCATACAGCTATCACCTTAAGCAGAAATTAGAACCAAAAATATTTTAAAAGACGTTACTCAGTATTATCTCTCTTATATTTGATTATTGTGCTTATGACTTTTGTCACTGAGAGGGTGACACCATCATTGGTATCCGATAGTAGCCATGACACCTGGGCTCGCACATTTAGCAGTTCCATATCTTTAACTAAAGGGGTGACTAAATTAGCCCTCAACTCGTTGAATATAGGGCACTCCATAATCATGTTCGATGGCTTCGATTGTATCATATGAACACCTGCATGTTCTGTTAGAGTATGATACTCTATTATATCTGCCCTCAAAAACCGCTGAGGGAAGAATGTTAATTCTTGCCAATTGATAAAAATATTTCAGCAGTTGTATTGGGAGGGCAATTTCCAAATAGAGTATCGAACATATCCTGCGCACCCTAATAGACATATTTATTTATTTATACTTTTATACGTACTTGTAACATCCAACTTCCTTACCCATTTTTTAATTTGCCTTTAATTTGTCAAGGGTGTATCCATAGCACATAGGCTTTTAGAAAAAATACTACAACAATAATTTAAACATATGAGAAAACAGGTAGCGTTTTAGGAAAAATACTGAATACATAATTTAAAATATTGAATTGAAATTAAAATAAGCCACAAGATCACTGTGTATTTAACTAGGTACTGAATTAATGACAGTAGCTCAAATTTTTAGTGCCACTTAGATATGTTTGGCGACGGCCACAGAGATGTAACTGTCATTTCCGGACAGAAGATTAAGTAAGTGATAAGTCCTCCGAACAGTTGGGAAAAGTTACAAGAAGGTTACCAGAGAAGCTCCTAAACTGCCATAGGATCTGCATGGAAAGAAAAGTGTTGCAGGGTTTCAGGCACCTCAAGACCGCACTAACAAATCCTATGACTGCATAAGAATATCAGAAGAGCCCTGCTGGATCAGACCAATAGTCCATCTAGTCCAGCATCCTGTCTCACACAGTGGCCAACTAGTTCTTCTGGATGGCAAACAACAGGGTATAGAGGCCGAGGCCTTCCCCTGAGGTTGTCTCCTGGCTCTGGGATCCAGAGGATGACTGCCTCTGAATGTGGAGGCTCCCCTCAGCCACCATGGCTAGTAGGCACTGATAAGACCTCTCCTTCATGAAACTATCTGATCCCCCTTTAAAGCTATTTATGCCTGTGGTCAACACTACGTTCTCTGGCAGCAAATCCCACATTTTAACCACTCTCTGTGTAAAACAGTATTTCCTTTTGTCCATCCTGAGCCTACTACCCATCAGCTTCACTAGATGCCCTCCAGTTCTAGTATTTTAGGGAAAGGGAGAGAAATTTCACCCCATGATAATGTTATAAACCTCTATCATGTCCCCCCCCTCTAGTTGTCTCTTTTCTAAATTGAAAAGTCCCAGACACTCCAACCCCCTAATCATCTTGGTCACCCTCTACTTTTTCCAGCTCTGCAATGTCCTATTTGAGATACGGTGACCCCACGCCGTGTTGGAAAATCTCTCCAAAAGATCAGCACTAGGTAACGCATCGAAACAGGCCAGGGAGACATTTTAAAGCTCTCTTTTGCTAACTTCTGATATTAAAAACATGCCGAGTGGAAACAATCCTTCAGGGTTTTTTGACAGTGTATTTGTCTCTTATCAAATCAAAGTTTATTTTAAAAATTGTGAGACACCTTTCCACCCAATTTAGAGCCCCCAAGACAGTGAACAATCAAAACATTAAGACAATCTGAAAACACACACACACAGTTAAACAAAACGCATGAATGAACACGAAGGGAGGGACAGTGAGAGCAGAGAGGAAATCCCAAATAAAAGAGAACAGTCTTCAAGGGCAAGTGCCCAAGATAAGTGGGTCATGTTTCTTTGAGCGTTCAGGAAGACTTGAGCATATCAAGGTTCAAGCAACTTTGGCAAAGGGTTATGGCCAAGGGTTATGCCACAGCCATGAATCATGGCCCATGATTGGTTGGAAAGAAAGGGGGGGACAGTCCCACCTCCTCCTACTATCTTGGACCCCGGTGTCCTGGGGGTTTGCCAGGATTCTACTGCCTATATTGGAGTGAGGGAAGACCATGCCAGCTCGCAGGGAAAAAATTAACGGACTGTCCCACTTGTCATTTTAAAGTGTAAAAAAAACAAATCAGCCAAAAAAAAATCAAATCAGTCATGTTCTTTAACAACCAGCCTTGCCGAACTCCACGTGGTGGCCGGCGATCTCATGGGACTACAACTGATCTCCAGGTGACGGAGATCCCTTTAGGAAAAAATAGCCACTCTGGCTTTATACCCCACTGAAGCCCCCCCAAACCCCGCCTTCCTCAGGCTCCACCCCCAAAACGCCGGGTATTTCCCAAGGTGGAGCAGGCAACCCTATTCGCGACACAGAAGAACTGTCTTGGCTATTAAATCACACTGAATAAAAATGTGATTATTTTTTTTTTGTAAAGAGAAAATACTTACAAGGTTTTACACACGTTTTGCAAAGAGAACAATGCCTCCATCGCCTCCCGTCCTATTCAAAAGAAGAAGTCAGGCACAGATTTTTAAAGAACAGGATCATTGGAAGCGTCCCTTGTGGTTAAGTTTGCCAGCGTCCGGGTAGCAGCTGGAGATCTCCTGGAAATCACAACTGATCTTCAGACCAGTGTTCCCTCTAAGCTGAGTTAGTGTGAGCTAGCTCACAGTTTTTTATCCTCCAGCTCACAGATTTTTGTCTTAGCTCAGGAAGGATGGCTCCAGAGCAAACTGATTTATGCCAAATCACTCGCTCACAAATTTAATGCCAGTGGCTCACGAAGTAGAATTTTTGCTCACAAGACTCCACAGCTTAGAAGGAACATTGCTTCAGACGACAGGAAATAGCAGCTTTGGAGGCCAGTGTTCCCTCTAAGCTGTGTTATAGTGTGAGTTAGCTCACAGTTTTTTAGCCTCTGGCTCACACATTTTGGTCTTAGCTCATGGATATTTATCTATGATTTATTTATTAATTCAATCTATACCCTGCCCTCCCCGCCGAGGCAGGCTCAAAGTGGCTAATTTATGGGTCCAGAGCAAACTAATTTATGCAGTAGCCAAATCTCACAACTTCAATGCCAGTAGCTCACAAAGTAGAATTTTTGCTCACAAGACTCCACGGCTTAGAGGGAGCACTGGTGGAGCAACATACCCTGCTAAGGTCACATCCCTCCCCAAACCCCCCAGTCTCCACCCCCCTCCCCAATCTCCAGGTATTTCCCAACCCAAAGCTGGCAACCTTACTGGTGATCCAGTTTTCACTATATTCACCCGCAGATAACGGCCTCGGATCAGAGTAAGGGCCCTGAAGGTCACCACTGGTCCTCTGAATGGGGTTCAGAAACAATGGCAAGTTTACCACCAGTCTTGTTCATATTTGCTCAGAAACGAGTTCCAGAACACGCACAGGATTACAGCCCACGCTTGCCACAGAGGAGCTGCCTTTCCCCCACTCCCAGTCTTGAAGCCATTCACATACAGTAAAGGATTCTTTGAGCTCAACCTTGTAGTATAAAGGTAAAGGTTCCCTTGCTCGAAAGCCAGTCGAGTCCGACTCTAGGGTTGCGGTGCTCATCTCCGTTTCAAAGCTGAAGAGCCAGCGCTGTCCGAAGACGTTTCCGTGGTCATGTGGCCGGCATGACTAAACACCAAGGCGCACGGAACGCTGTTACCTTCCCACAGAAGTGGTACCTATTTATCTACTTGAAATTTCTTGCTTTCGAACTGCTAGGTTGTAGTATAGATGGGACTATAAAGATTTCCCCCCTTTTTTGATTATTCATATTTCTCTGGTTTTTATAGATTTATTCTTAATAAGATTTTACTGGGATGTAATGAAGGCCTGTTATACACCCTTTCTAGGTGAGGGGGTTTCTCCAGCTGATGTTAACAGACAAGACAATAGCATTTTTGGGGGGTAAAGAAGAAGGTATAAGGTTTATGGTTCTAATAGTTTAGGTTATAACTTCATAGTGTCTGGGTCAAAAAGGATTTTTAACTCCTATCAGAGAAAAAGACCTTTGTTTGGGTGAGAACAAGCCTTGGCCAATATGACTCAGGTCAGGTCAAGTAAATACGTGACACTGTTGTATAGACACACCTTTCTTTACATTTGACCAGTAAGGAGATTTTCATTTAAATGTTGTTTAATTTCGTGTAACCAATTAAGCTTTCTGAATTTCTGAATATTATTTTTATGATGATGGTATGATGATGTCATATTAAGTATTTAACTTCATGTATTTCCTGGTAGGGCTCAGAAAGCAGTCAGTTTTGATGGGCCATTTGGCCTGTTTTCTGTGTTTGATTGCAATTAAATACAAGATCTTCCTCCTCATTGTGACGTCAATCTCCTATTTTTGACTGGATATTAATTTGTAGAACAACCTCTTTCCAAGATCCACTCACTTTGGATGTGCATGAATTGCACGCTTCACAGTGCTGGTTCTCTGAGCTCACATATCGCTGACAAATGCAGCAAAACCTGGCAGAGAGGGAGAAAGCAGTTGAGAGAATCAGTTAGATCCGAGAGATATTTCCCTACACTGGGGGTCCCCAAGCTTCTTGAGCCTTTGGAATTCTGACACGGGTCGGTGGGCGCAGCAACAAGATGGCTGCCACAAAATGGCTGCTGCGGGAGGTGGAGCCGGCCGCAAAATGGCAGCCACGGATTAACTTCAGCCACACAGTGCAGATCCTTCTGCTACGGTGGCAGCTGCTACCAAAGCAATATTTTTAAAAATCTGCACATCCAATCAAATCTCCAATAACCATTCAGAAGCCTTGCTGGGCAAAAGCCCTACCTGGCCCCACCCACTTCCTGAAAACACTTGGTAGGTGCCATGGTGCCCACGGGCAGCCTGTTGGGGACCCCTGCCCTGCACTAGGCACTGTTAAAACCGAGTTAACCCCCATATCAGCATTTTATAAACTACCATTGGAAAAAAACCACCTTTCGCTATAAACAGATGAAGGAGCCTGAATAGCCCTGACTACCCTGATCTTGTCAGAGACTGGAAGCTAAGCAGGGTTTGCCATGATGAGTATTTCAATGGGGGGAACACTAAGGAAGACGGGGGTTGCTACGCAGAGGAAGGCGATGGCAAAGCCACCTCTGCTCACCTCTTGCCTTGGAAACCTCATGGGCCTGGAGTTGCTAGGGCCCCTTTCACACTATCGTTCTAAACCGGATGTTATCCGTTGTTGGCCCGGTTCCGAGTAAAGTGATACAGGGATGGGGTTTCGTACAGTGAATTTCATTCTGTTAACGAGCCATCTCCGAAGCAATCTGGCCATTTCAAACAGCACCGTGCTCCCCCGCCCCCGCCCTTTTTCGCCGCGTGATCTTCCTCGAACCTTTTTTTGAATGTGCTAGCCAAAGCACCGTCGCACTAGACCAATATAGCATCTTTCAATGTATCTCAATGGTGCCACTGGAGTGCTGACGTGCTATACTGGTCTAGCCCTACAGCGCTCAACTTAGAACATTTAAAAAAAAACTAACGAAGATTGTGTAGCGAAAAGAGCAGGGGGAAAGTGCAGCGCTACTGGAAGCGCTGCAGACATTTTAAACAGCACATGACAGCAATTCAGAAGTGCAAAGAAGGCGGGAAATTGGAAGAAAGCAGTGTACCTCAAGAATGGCGCAACCCTGCTTTGCTAACTGGACGCAAGCGGCTGTCAGGTTCAACAGCTCGCAAGTCCACACACACTCTTCAGGGAAACTTTATTAGAATACAAGTCCGTTGCCAAGTGGTACAGGTACATTGTTAGGAATTACGGTTAGGGCTGAGGCATCAATACATATACTCTGATGCTGCAGTTGGCTAAGCAAATGAAATCCAAGCGTGTGTGCGGGAAATCTCCCGGCGGGATATTACATCATGAACGGGAGACTCTCCTTGCCCCATGAGAGCAGAAAGATTCACACCGGCAGTGGAATGCAAGCCCTCCCTCCTCCTCAAGGTTACACAGATTGCACAGTCTGGCAGAGCCAGTTCGCATGGTCTCATGCGCGCATGCGCTACAGTCAGGGATGAACATAGCATGGCAGCTAGCTGACAGCGACTTTGTGTGAAAAGGTAAATAAAATCCGTTAGCGGCCGGTTGTGTCTGGAATGACACAAAAAGGCTGTTAGCAACCGGCTACCAAAACGGTTTTCCTCACTACGGCGGCCAGAATCTTATATGCGAAATATTGGAAATTACCAGAGATACCAACTAAGCGAGAACTTATAAACAAAGTACTAGAGGCTGCAGAACTGGACAAACTGACTCTATTGCTAAAAGGTGCAACGAACTCTACATTTCAGAATACTTGGGTACGGTTCTATAATTGGGATGATAACTATATGTAGGCAAGTTAAGAATGGACAGAAATGAAATATATTCTTAGATCGATAAAGATAGAGATAGATGGTTACTTACACAGGTTACAAGAATATTAGATTAAGGCAGTAATATAAATATCTGTAAAAAAATGTAAACAAGCCCAGTATATGTATGTGTGTAAATCTTAATATGTTAGTGTGTGTATTTTATGTGTGTATGTATTATATATTTGAAAAAACTTAACAAAATTCTGCATCTTTGAGGCAGTTAAAAAAAAACAACGGATGACAAAGGCTGTCTGAAAGGGGCCTTAGAATCAGTTGCAACGTAATGGCACACAATTATGATGATAGACAGTTGGAACAAAAATTGTACCTATACCCTTCTTCCACAGGAAGCACTATTAGACGAGGTGAAACATTAGTAAAAATACGAACAGGGGACTGTTTTCGGCCTGACTTTCCATGTTTGTAGAGGGCATGGTTATCATAGTCCACCTAGAAAAGGAAGGCACAGCACCGGGGTGAAAATATTATCATTAATTATTATCATTCTTAATTTATAGTCCAGCTTTCTCACTGGGACTCAAAGCGGTTTACAAGCATGAGGAAATCTATTCAGTCTATTAAAAAATATAACAATATTCGACTCTAACAGCAAAGATCCCTAGTAAAACAACATATTCAGTGGGGCTGGGACTGAAGAATTGGGAAGAAATGCAAGCAAAAATATCTTGCTTAGCACAATGACTGATGTAAGGAAACTTTATCCCTAACAGAAGTCACCTCCTGAGCTGATCCACTGCGCCTCAGATCTGTTCTTCTACAAGAATGCCCTCCTAATTCTGCTTTGCACCATTTTAGAGAAGAAGAAGAGAAGAGATTGAATTTATACCCCACCCTTCACTACCCAAGGGAGTCTCAGAGCGGCTTACAAACTCCTTTCCCTCCCCCTCCGCACAACAGACACCCTGTGAGGTAGGTGGGGCTGAGAGAGTTCTTCCAAGAACTCCGGAAGGCTCTTCTTGAAACTACAGCTATTATGATTTTTGAATCATCAGTGAGATCCATGAAATTTTGATATGTCATCAGATGAAACGAATTCTTGAGAGACACTACATGTTATTCATCTTTGTTCAGAAGAAGATTGTTTTCGAAACGGCAGGACATTCCAGAGACCACCTACACTTATTATTGGAAATTGTTCACTTTTTCTACATTGTATAATTATGATGATTTTTCAATGAAATATTGTTTAGCGTTATATTGTCACAGTTTTTTCCTGTTTTTTCAGTGATATAGAGACTGTCCATCAATTTAGATCATAACAATCTTTACTGGAAGACCACATAACATGTGCCACCTGCATGCACTATTTTTAGACATTCCTACTTTCTGTACGCTGGTTTCTGACTCTGAGGTCCACAGCGACATTATGGAACACATTTGTCTTCTTTTACACAGGGTAAGAGAGGCCCAAATCCCATATTTAAATCAGCAGATTGGAGTCATACAGACTACTGTTGTGAAGACCCTTGGACCTCTTAGCCTGCTACTCCAGAAAGTCCGTGTGTGTATTTGAAGAAAAGAGACTCTCCCGCGGTACCTTCCTTTGCAGCACAAGAAACTGCCGTTAGGAAACCCAGAGAGGCGTGCCGAGACAGTTTGGACTCATGGGATGATATTTAGAAAAATAAAGAACTAGCACCATCGTCTCCACGGAAACAAAATGTAATGCCATGGCTTGCTTTACTCACAGAACAGACTCCCAAAAGACTGTGACAAAGCTTGTACTTTTTTCCCCCTAGTTCACTATACTTCTACTGCACTTTGGCCTTACCTGATAATCCAGCATCCTGAAACTTGGGAAAAATTCAAGGATGCGTGATTCAAAAAAGTATGGAAATATCCAAAATATGGGTAATTCTTTGCTGGCTGCATCTAGTAAGAAGAGAAGAAGAGATTGGATTTCTACCCCGCCCTTCACTCAGAGTCTCAGAGTGGCTTACAGTCTTCTTTCCCCTCCCCTCCCCACAACAGACACCCTGAGAGAGCTCTTGACAGAAACTGCTCTTTTCCAAGGACAGCTCTGACAGAACTATGGCTTGCCCAAGGCTACCCAGCAGGTGCAAGTGGAGGAGTGGGGAATCAAACCCGGTTCTCCCAGATTAGAGTCCATGCACTTAACCACTACACCAGACTAAGCAAGAGAGAGAGAGAGAGAGAATATGAATGAATGATTGGTTTGCTTTTTTAAAACTTTTGGGACAATTGGATAACAAAAATCTGCAACAGCCTAATAGTACAGCACCTCGCAAGCAGTTTGGCAACAGATCCTGGCCTCCGCCCCCCCTGCGTCTTTAATTAAAGCTTTAGATGATCAGTCTGTGGAGTTAAAGCTTGCAGCGCTGTTAACAGTCTGTCTGGAATATTTTAAAATCTCCGAAGTCAGAGTTTGCAGTAGTTGCTCAAAAGCAAATGATCCTCGGGAAAACCTGCTTTGCCCGTTGCTGCCTCAATAATTTACCTGTGCGGCCTGTTTGCTTCCACATGGCAACCAGCTGTCTGAAAGCAAAAGCCAGGGCTTCGACCAAGCCCCCAAATGGAGGATCAGCCACCATGATGACCCCTTCGCCTTCGTCTTGCTGCAAGAATTCCTGACATACATCGCGGGCAGCCTGCAAAAGATCAAGGGTCCCTTTCAAACTCGGGCTGCGTTCAGATGTCAGACGGAGCCAAGGTTCAGGGGAAACGTCCGTGGCCCAGCTTGTTGTTGGGCTTCCACACATGCCTCCCTCCCTGCCTCTTCCTCACACAGAGAACCGTGGTTCTAATCGAATCCTGGGAAACTGGCAGCCGAGTGGATTAAGTGGAGTTGGTAGCCATGAGACAGCGGAGGAGGGACATGACAGAGGTTTATAAAATTATACATGGGGTAGAGACAACTGAAAAAGAGAACCTTTTCTCTCTCTCTCTGCCCCAAAACTAGAACTCGAGGGCAGGTAGAGAAAGAGGTACTTTTCTCCCTTTCTCACAATACAAGAACTCGTGGGCACTCTATGAAATTGCTGAGCGGTCGGGTTAGAATGGATAAAAGGAAGTCCTTCTTCACCCAAAGAGTGATTAACACATGGAATTCACTGCCACAGGAAGTGGTGGCGGCTACAGGCATGGACGGCTTCAAAAGGGAATTAGATAAGCATATGGAGCAGAGGTCCATCAGTGGCTATTAGGGGCTCTGGGGCAAGTGATGCTCTGCCTTCTTGGTGCTTGGTCAACAGTGGGAGGGCTTCTAATGTCCTGGCCCCACTGGTGGACCTCCTGATGGCACTGGTATTTCTGGCCACTGTGTGACACAGAGTGTTGGACGGGATGGGCCTTTGGCCTGATCCAACATTGGCATCTCTTATGTTCTTATCCAATAAAGCTGAAGGGCAGCAGATTCAGGAAAGACAAAAGGAAACACTTCTTTACACAGAGAGGGATGACAATGTGGACTCCGCTGTCAGAGGATGTATGATGGCCACAGGCACAGGCAGCTTTAAAGGGGGATCAATACGTGAAGGATGGGTCCATCAGTGGCTACTGGCCAGAGTGACTGAAGGGAACTTCCACGTTCAGAGGCAGTCAACCTCTGCATACCAGTGCTACGAGGCAACCTCAGGGGAAGGCCTCGGCCTCTATGCCCTGTTGTTGGCCCTCCAGAGGAGCTGTGCGAGACAGGATGCTGGACTAGATGGCCCCCGGTCTGATCCGGCAGGGCACTTCTTGTGTTCTTAATGAGGATTCTAAACAAAGGCTTCAAACTCCAGGGGCAGTGGCAGTGTGTGTGTGGAGGGCGGGGCGGGGCAACTAACTCCAGTCAAAAGGCAGGGCTCCCCTCGTGGGACAGCTGGAATGAGTTTTGAATCATGACTCTCAGCAACAGAACCGAAAGGAAGAACAAGACAACAAGCTGCCTTCATACATGTTTTTACTTCACAGTGGTTAGAGTTGCGAGGTGCCAGCCAGCAGCCCCCGGGGGCAATGAGGAGGGGGAGACTTAGAAGATAGGGTTGCCAAGTGTTACCTTCCTCCACAGCGGGGGACTCCCGGGCCGATCATGGAGCGCGCGCGCCGCATCCACATCACCAGGAAGTGACGTGATGATGCCGGGCACGCTGGGGGCGGGGCCACGACCATCCGAGGGGAAACCATAGAGTTTTCCCTCAGATGATAAACCTATTAGAAGACCAGATCGCTGGGACTGTGACAGCCCTTCTGGTTTTGGACCCAGAAGTGACGTTAAATCACCACTCTAGGAATGTTCTTAATCTCTACGGTTTCTACCAGTCCCCATCGAGCATGAGCAGGGACCCCTGAGGGCAGGAGGCTGCTCGCCAGAGCAGGCAACCCGGCAGCCCAAACTGTGGCTCAGTGTGAGACCGGAAGGTCGCCTCACGGTCCAGGAGCCGAAGGGCCACTTCAGTCCCAGGTGAATGCTTGGAATACCTGGTGGAATTTCTCGGTTCATCCCTAACTCCCCCCCCCCCCCATTTCACATCACAATCAGAGTAACTCTAAGAATTGTCGGAAACAATATGGTTTTACCCGGGAATGACGTAGCAATACAGCCAGTGTTGCCCCTAGAAAAAAAAGATTTCTCTTGCCACTATTTGGAGTGGCGATGGCTTTTACCATGGAGTTTCTGGTGATCCCTAGAGCTAACCTATGCCACTCCCTGTGTATGAAAGGATCCAACCTAGTGGCTCGTCAGTGAAAGCCTGTTTGTATCTATAAGCGTTAAAGAGAATTCAAACCACACTCTGAAGCCATAACTAGCTTAAACTCATGTGCCTCAGCCAGGTTTCTCCTTTGAAACCTGGAGACCATCCAGACTAAAGTAGAGAATCCAGTCCAAAGCTGGCTAAACATGTAATGAACAGACTGGCATAAAAGACGCTAGATATATTCAACCGTCATGTCAATATATTATTGATCTCAAAGTGTAACTGTAAATAACATTATTGTGACAATAAATACAATTAATAAACATTCATGAAGTAATTGTGATTAAGATACATGAAGTTATTTTACAAAATTTTGTTTAAAAGTTTGTAAAAATTAAAAAAAACCTTTGAAAAACATATTAATGTTGATGTGTGCAAATTGTTTTATATTGAAGGGTTTGTTCAGACAAAGAGACGAAACGGAACTCAATCCAGAGGTTCTCGTCAGCAATCACTTTATAGCGATCAAAATAACTTCATGTATCTTAATAATCACAATTACTTCATGAATGTTTATTAATTGTATTTATTGCCACAATAATGTTATTTACAGTTACACTTTGAGATCAATAATATACTGACATGATGGTTGAATATATCTAGCGTCTTTTATGCCTACCTGGAGACCATAACACTACTCAGGGCTCTTTTTGTAGAAAAAGCCCAGCAGGAACTCATTAGCATAATAGGCCACACCCAAAAGCAGACACTCATTAGCATATTAGGCCACACCCCTGACAGCACAGCTCATTAGCACGTTAGGCTGCACCCATGTTACCAGAAGTGTGGTCATCCAGCCACACCCACCTTTTGCTTCTTATTCTGTTTACCTTGTTTGTAGCAGGAACTCCTTTGCATGTTAGGCCACACACCCCTAATGTAGCCAATCCTAATGAGTTCCTGCTGTTGGGTGTGGCCTATTATGCTAATGAGTTCCTGCTGGGCGTGGTCAACTTGGGAGCCAGCCGGAACTCCGTTCCTGTGCGTTCCTGCCCAAAAATAGCCCTGAATACGATCAAAGTGCCATTGCTCCACAAGACGTGACACACGTGTCGTAGAACCTGGCTGCCGCTTACCTCTCCACCAAAGAAATAATGGTTAAACATATTGTAGTGGCAGAATTCCTCCTCTGTATAAAACTGGGAGTACCTGTAAAGAAATTATTTCCATTACTAGAAAGCCTGCAGCCAAAGATCTGGCTGATCAGCTAAAGTCAATGTTGCTCACAGGTTCAAGACAAGAAATGAAGAAGAGGAGGAGATTGGATTTATGCCCCGCCCTTCACTCAGAGTTGCAGAGCCGCTTACAGTCTCCTTTCCCTTCTCCTCCCCATAACAGACACCCTGAGGGATAGGTGGGGCTGAGAGAGTGCTTTCGAGTACTGCTCCTGAGAGAGCAGCTCTGAGAGAACTTGTGACTGACCCAAGGTCACACCAGCGGCTGCATGTGGAGGAGTGGGGAATCAAACCCAGCTCTCCCAGATTAGAGTCCACCACTCCTAGCCACTACAGCACAATGGCTCCGGCTGCTGTGTTATTGTCTTTTATTCAACCCTTTACCCTCCGCTTCTCTCTGATTCCTATTTCATAGTCTACTGCCTACCAATGTTCCCTCTAAGCTGTGGAGTCTTGTGAGCAAAAATTCTACTTTGCAAGCTACTGGCATTAAAGTTGTGAGTGAGCGATTTGGCTAATGCATAAATTAGTCTACTCTGGAGCTGTCCTTCCTGAGCTAAGACAAAAATGTGTGAGCTGGAAGCTAAAAAACTGTGAGCTAGCTCACACTAACTCAGCTTAGAGGGAACACTGGTGCCTCCTATTCTTCCTTCAGCCACCTTGTTGTCTCTGACCCCCCTCCTCTGGAGCTAGCTTACCACCTGGGACCTCTCCCAACCCTCAGCCTGCCTCAACCAGGATAATCCCGTTCCTAGGACCTGTGAGGGGTTTTCATCCTAGAAGAAAATCCCCTTCTCTCCCACACATTTAAAAATTGGTGTTCACTCAGTCGATCGAACGTTCAAGACTTTCTGGGGCCGAGCTGGGACTCAACTGTCAGAAAAGTAATCTACATTACGGCTGCGATCATGCGCACAATTGGACCTGACATAGGTGTGAATGCTGGGTGGGTTTAAAGGGCGCAATCAGACATCAACATCTGGGGAGCGCCCCGCAGCTGTAGGCAACCCGTTCTGCTCCGCCGCAGAAGCGGAGTTAAAAGACACCGGGGAAAATCCGGTAGTTAACGGGTTGCAACAGGCCACGGAGGGACTTTTCCGTGTCTGATCGCTCCAGTGCGCTCTCATGGCGTTGGGATGGTCTGATCAGGCCATCCCGACTCTGTGCCATTGTCCCCCCCCCTCGCAGTATGTGCATCATTGCAAACTCCATAAGGAGCCCTCAGTGCGGAGGTGCGATTCACCAATCCCTCGGTTAAGCGCATGGGGGGGAAACGGCACACAAAAAAAGACTCACCCACAGTTGCGTCTGATCACGCACTGACAGACTGCGCCCGCAGCTTCAAAGGGAGGTGTGATTGTGCAACTGTGGGTCAAATTCCTACGGAGGAAATAGCCTCGCTCCCCCCCCCCGTTTTTTTCTGGCGCGTGTGACCGCAACCTACTTACATTTCTTTTTCTTTTTTTAAATTTATTTTTATTGGGTTTTATGCTTAATAGACATACATACATAGATCACCACAAAAAATTTTCACACTACACCACATTGACAATTTAGTTAAACATACTCTTACTTCAAGTTTTTCCTATTCATATATTAACCAAGTAACATTTCACATTGCCTCACTCACAACCCTCCTCATTCATTTTAACCAGTAAATCTATCCATTTATATGTTTATTTATTCCTTATTCTTGTCCATATATCAGAATCACCTTTAGTAAGTTCTTTCCACTTTTTAACACCTAACCTACTTACATTTCTGACTGGCTACAAAACACGTTAGAGTAGCGGCTCACAATATCCACAAGTTTCATCTGAAAAATCTCCCCCAGTTTAAAAATGTCTGCTCATTTGGCACAGAAGACTATTTTTTGAGAACATCTCGCCTTCCCTGTTTAGGAAGGAATCAACTCCTCATGTACCCAACACGGAGAACCCCCAAAGATATTGGTCATACAATGACTAAGCTTCAAAACAAAATGGATTCCGAACAGAGAAGAAAACTCTGAATCACTTATTCATAATGCAGCCCATACACTTCCCCCTCAGGGCAACCTCTACATCTTGGGGAAACTCACAACTTTCGGGGGGTCAATTGGGAACATCGGAGATTTTAGGCAACCCCATCTTCCCACTTCCAAAGCCTTCTAGTAGCCAAGGAGGAAGAGTTGATTTAAACTGCTCACCATTCATTAAAGAGTCAAATCCCAAAATTCTCCCCCCTGGCCCTAAAAAATATAGCCACAGAGCATTATCAGTCAGGTGACGACCATCAGGTGCCAGCCACGGTCTCCTTGAATGCCCAAGGGCTGTACTGTATGCATAAAAAAGGTAAAGGTTCCCTTGCTCGAAAGCCAGTCGAATCCGACTCTCATCTCCGTTTCAAAGCCAAAGAGCCAGCGCTGTCCGAAGACGTTTCCGTGGTCATGACTAAACACCAAGGCACACGGAACGCTGTTACCTTCCCACCGAAGTGGTACCTATTTATCTACTTGCAATTTCTTGCTATCGAACTGCTAGGTTGGCAGGAGCTGGAACTAGAGACAGGAGCTCACTCCGTCATGTGGCACCCAGGTCTCGAACTGCTGAACTACTGACCTTCCACAGCCTGCAGTTCAGCGTCTTAACCACTTGAGCCACCGCAGCCTAGTATGCATAGTCATCATAAATATACCTAACTGAAGTTGTCCTGCCTGGAGCGCCGTTTTTACATCTGAATTTTTTCACTCGTCATGAGCCTGTTCCCCACCTGACACCCTCCCAGGGCCACTTCCTGAATGAGCCCCTCCTTCAAGCTTTCACTTTGGCCATCAAGAAGGAGTGTTTGTTTTAGGAAGTGCTGCTCTAAAATGAAGAGAGCATTGAATGCTTAGAAATGTCCTACCTGAAATCAATATCCAACAAAAGGCTCCTAATGGGGCTCTTCTGTTCCTGCGGTGATCGTAATTTGATCAGTTCATGAAGCCTGGGGGGGGAGGGGGGGACATAAAGCCATTTCAGTGTACAACACAAGCACTTTAGACAACAACAATGAATACACTAGAGAGAGAGAGAGAGAGCCAGTTTGGTGTGGTGGTTAGGAGCACAGACTCTAATCTGGGAGAACCGGGTTTGATTCCCCACTCCTCCAAATGCAGCTGCTGGTGTGACCTTGGGTCAGTCACAGATTCTCTCAAAGCTGTTCTCTCAAGGGCAGTCCTCGAGAGAACTCTCTCAGTCCCGCCTACCTCACAGGGTGTCTGTTGTGGGGAGGGGGAGGGAAAAGAGATTGTAAGTCCTTCTGAGACTCCTTGAGGTAGTGAAGGGTGGGGTATAAATCCAATCTCTTCTTCTAAATGTTCTTTGTGTGTGGGGGGGGCACCTTCCTTTTCACAGCTGGGTGCCACACGAAAAGTTTCCTGCTCAGCGTCCTATCTTGGAGACGGTATATTCACATGCGACTGAAATAATATCCAAGAAAGTAATATTTTTAATTTTAAAAAAATAAGGCACTCCCTTAACTGTGTGAGCATCAACTAGGGCACCAACCAATGCTCCCTCTAAGGTGTGGAATCTTGTGAGCAAAAATCCTACTTTGTGGGCTACTGGCATTAAAGTTGTGAGTGAGCGATTTGCCTACTGCATAAATTAGTCTGCCCTGGAGCCCTCCTTCCTGAGCCAAGGCAAAAATGTGTGAGCTGGAGGCTAAAAAACTGTGAGCTGCCTCACACGAACTCAGCTTGGAGGGAACACTGGCACCAACCATTTCCCTGAAGAACAACCATCGGGAGGGAAAGCGCACTCCGTGACTGACCTTGGGGTGCCGACGCAAAGCACTCTCTTGAACCTGAGCGCCACAATGAGGTCCAGCAGGAACCGGCAGCTCCGGTCAGCAAACAGATACTGCGCGTTGGTCTTCTTGTTCTCTAGAGGTCTGAGGAGCTGGCTGGGTCTCCTCAGCTGGGCAACGGAGACACCACCAAGTACCTGATGCCCAGAGTGTCTTCTCCACTCAGATGGCAAGAGAAGCTGTTGGCATTCTTGACAGAACTTCCTTTCCGATAACGGCAAGACGACAAACTCCTTGTACCTTACATTATATGACAAACGAGACAGCTGTCTTAGAATACAACACACACTGAAAAAGACAATAATACTAGGAAAAGCTAAAGGAGGCAGGAAAAGAGGAAGCCCCAACACGAGATAGTAAAGGTAAAGGTTCCCTTGCTCGAAAGCCAGTCGAGTCCGACTCTAGGGTTGCGGTGCTCATCTCCGTTTCCAAGCCGAAGAGCCAGCACTGTCCGAAGACGTTTCCGTGGTCATGTGGCCGGCATGACTAAACACCAAGGCGCATGGAACGCTGTGACCTGCCCACCGAAGTGGTACCTATTTATCTACTTGCAATTTCTTGCTTTCGAACTGCTAGGTTGGCAGGAGCTGGAACTAGAGACGGGAGCTCACTCCATCATGCGGCACCCGGGTCTCGAACTGCTGAACTACTGACCTTCCACAGCCTGCAGTTCAGCATCTTAACCACTTGAGCCACCGCAGCTCCCAAAGTGTTTTACATACATTTAAAAACGAATACTGTATCTGGTGAATGGGCCTAGAAGAGGGCACAGGATCCGGCCCACACAGCATGTCTATCTGCCCCTGATGGCCCTCCTCAGATTTTGATGAAGATGAGGTGCATAAACACATGAAGCTGCCTTATCCTGAATCAGACCTTTGGTCTATTGAAGTCAGCATTGTCTACTCAGACTGGCCAGTGGCTCTCCAGGGAGACTCCTTTCACATCACCTACTATTTCATCCTTTACACTGGAAGCACTGGGGATTGAACCTGGGACATTCTGCATAATAAGTAGATGCTCTACCATTAAGATCGCCAACCTCCAGGTAGCACCTGGAGATCTCCCACTGTTAGAATTGATCTCCAGATGACCAGGATCAGTTCCCCTGGAGAAAATGGCTGCTTAGGAGGGTGGACTCTATGGCATTATGTCCTGCTGAGGTCCCTCCCCACCCCAAACCACACCCTGCCCAGGCCCAAACCCCAAATCTCCTGGTATTTCCCAGTCCGGAGCTAGCAGCCCTATCTACCATTGAGCCACAGCCCTTCCCAGGTAGGAAGTTTTCCCAAAGGTTCACCTCCAAAGGAAAGGAAATTTGCTTTCAAACATTACTAAGGGGTCAACGGTCCCCCACTTCAATATTCTGTTTCTCTTTGGCTTTTGTATATTAACGCCACAGTTATTCTCAGGTGCCTCTGATACATAATTGTTCCAGATTATGCCTCTGTCAATATACTGGGACTCACCTTCTGTAGTGAATAAATTTCTGGCAGCACAGTCAGAGGACAAGTTGGCCCCCGAAACACAGAAGAGCATAGATATATATATTTTGTGATAAATGTCAGAAATGTGGTGAATACTGACTTCTGGTAATTGTTGAGATTCCGAGAGAGCCAGAGAGTGTCTGAAAACTCCAACGTGAGTCAAAGCCTTCTGTAGATTTCCAAGTGGCATTCTTGTTGTTGTTGTTCAGTCTCACAGTCGAGTCCGACTCTTCGCGACCCCATGGACCAGATCACGCCAGGCCTTCCGGTCTTCTGCCGTCCACTGAAGTTTGCTCAGTTTCATGTTTGTTGCATCTATTACACTGTCTAACCATCTCATCCTTTGCCGTCCCGGTCTTTTTTGACCTTCAATCTTTCCCAGCATCCGGGTCTTCTCCAGTGAGGGCTCCCTTCTCATTTGGTGGCCAAAGTATTTGAGCTTCAGTTTCATTATCAAGTGGCATTCTTGCTAACAGGCAAAGGACAGTTTCCATGCCATGTTTGCGGATTTTAAAAACAGTCCTTATGAGACTAAGCATTCTAACAGTCAACCTGCCAAGATCAATTCTGATAAGTACGATTATGGGAACATTTACTCAGCTTTGTCCTCTAACTTTGGTAAACATCATTCATTATATCTGATGAAGGGAGTGTTAACTCTTGAAAGCTTATGCCCTGAAAATCTTATTGTTCTCTAAGCTGCTACTGGACTTGAATCTAGCACATCGTGGGGAGTTTCTGATGTGCCCGATAAGTGTCTTATCCCTGACTGTGGGGTACCAGATGGAATAGTGGTGTGTGTGTTCTGTTTATAAGAACCTTCTGTAAATTTTCAGAATTTGTTATTCAGGAGGTATATGGTCCTTCAAGCAGTGGTATTAAAGATTTTTAAGCCGTAGTATTATGGATATGACTGGTTTGGGGGGGCAGGTTTTGATGGAAGCTTTTTCATTACTTAAATTTGTTTAAGATTTCTTGTGCTCACGCTAGTGGTGGAAAGTGGTCTAGACATGTTATTTATTTATTTGGATTGGTATTCCGCTCTCCCGTCAAGCAAGTTCAGAGCGGATCACACATCATAAATAGATAAAAATATACACGAATAAATAAAACAATATTTAAAGTAATATTTTTTAAAAAATTTAATGGAGCAAAATCTAGCCAAAGTTCACCCTTTCGGAGTGTTGTTCAGTCCGATGGGTGAGAATTAAATTACATTTTTAACTCTGTAATTGAATAATGAGGATAAAGAGGCCGTGGGTTGGCTTTTGAGCGTGGGAGGTGGATGTAGTTGTTAGTCGTTATTTATGTTCATGGCATTTCTGCATCAGTCAAGTGGGCTTTGGGTCTCTGTCCTAATCTAGATGGATTTGAGGGAGGAGAAATCAGGGTCCAAAGGGCCAGGAACGAAAGACCGAATGCAGGCAAATGTGGTTTGCTGCTATGTGTACGTGTGTATTATGTGCCAACAAGTCGCTTCTGGCTTACGGTGACCCTATGAATGAATGACCTCTGAAATGTCCTGGTTAATAGCCTTGCTCAGGTCATGCAAACTGAAGGGCGTAGCTTCCTTTATTACGGCAGTCTATCAAGTGGTTAAGACGCTGAACTGCAGGCTGTGGAAGGTCAGTAGTTCAGCAGTTCGAGACCCAAGTTTCGGGGGCCAACTTGTCCTCTGACTGTGCTGCCAGAAATTTATTCACTACAGAAGGTGAGTCCCAGTATATTGACAGAGGCATAATCTGGAACAATTATGTATCAGAGGCACCTGAGAATAACTGTGGCGTTAATATACAAAAGCCAAAGAGAAACAGAATATTGAAGTGGGGGACCGTTGACCCCTTAGTAATGTTTGAAAGCAAATTTCCTTTCCTTTGGAGGTGAACCTTTGGGAAAACTTCCTACCTGGGAAGGGCTGTGGCTCAATGGTAGATAGGGCTGCTAGCTCCGGACTGGGAAATACCAGGAGATTTGGGGTTTGGGCCTGGGCAGGGTGTGGTTTGGGGTGGGGAGGGACCTCAGCAGGACATAATGCCATAGAGTCCACCCTCCTAAGCAGCCATTTTCTCCAGGGGAACTGATCCTGGTCATCTGGAGATCAATTCTAACAGTGGGAGATCTCCAGGTGCCACCTGGAGGTTGGCGATCTTAATGGTAGAGCATCTACTTACTATGCAGAATGTCCCAGGTTCAATCCCCAGTGCTTCCAGTGTAAAGGATGAAATAGTAGGTGATGTGAAAGGAGTCTCCCTGGAGAGCCACTGGCCAGTCTGAGTAGACAATGCTGACTTCAATAGACCAAAGGTCTGATTCAGGATAAGGCAGCTTCATGTGTTTATGCACCTCATCTTCATCAAAATCTGAGGAGGGCCATCAGGGGCAGATAGACATGCTGTGTGGGCCGGATCCTGTGCCCTCTTCTAGGCCCATTCACCAGATACAGTATTCGTTTTTAAATGTATGTAAAACACTTTGGGAGCTGCGGTGGCTCAAGTGGTTAAGATGCTGAACTGCAGGCTGTGGAAGGTCAGTAGTTCAGCAGTTCGAGACCCGGGTGCCGCATGATGGAGTGAGCTCCCGTCTCTAGTTCCAGCTCCTGCCAACCTAGCAGTTCGAAAGCAAGGAATTGCAAGTAGATAAATAGTTTGGTGGGAAGGGAACAGCGTTCCGTGTGCCTTGGTGTTTAGTCATGCCGGCCACATGACCACGGAAACCTCTTCGGACAGCGCTGGCTCTTCGGCTTTGAAACGGAGATGAGCCTAGAGTCAGATTCGACTGGCTTTCGAGCAAGGGAACCTTTACCTTTACCTAACTCTGCACAGGATTGCACGGTAAATCCATTAGTCTTTAAAGGTGCCCTGGGTTTCTTTGTTCCTTCTGAGATGGAAAGATACCCTTTCAGATGCTGAGGGTCCCCAGGGTTTCTAGCAAACTGTCCACTGGCCTTCACGCGCCAGAAGTTCATGAGAGGGGCTCAACCATACCTTTCCACATTTTGTGTGTGAGAGGAAGAGGGCTGCCGACTTTGGTTGTACCTCTCCTGTGCTTGACGCCTAGCCTCAGACACCTGAAAAGATGGACAGGAGAGAAACGTATACATCGAAAAGTGAACATATTTCCACCGATAGAGTTTCAAAGACATGGTCAAGTGACGTTTCAAAGTTTCCTTTCTGAAAAGCTCGGCTAAAAATAAATAAATCCCAAATATATAATTGTTCCAAAATCTGCTTCTTAGAAATTCTTATACACAATTGATAAAAGACTTAAGAGAGCTTTACTAATAGGGTTGCCACCAGTGTTCCCTCTAAGCTGAGTTTTTTAGCCTCCAGCTCACACGTTTTTGTCTCAGCTCAGGAAGGAGGGCTCTAGAGGAAACTAATTTATGTAGTAGCCAAATGGCTCGCTCACAACTTTAATGCCAGTAGCTCACAAAGTAGAATTTTTGCTCACAAGACTCCACAGCTTAGAGGGAACATTGGTTGCTACCCTCCTGGTGACACCTGGCGACCTCCCACTGTTACAGTTGCTTTCTAGAGGACACAGATCAGCTCCCCTGGAGAAAAGGGCTACTTCGGAGGGTGGACTCTGTGGCACTTGTAGCCTTGCTGAGGCCCCTCCCCTCCCCAGGCTCCGCCCTCCAGGTTTTTCCCAACCCAGACCTGGCAGACCTACATACTAAACGGGTCTACTCAGAATCTTAATGAGGCCTAACCTTACTTCCAGGAAAGCGTTCAGATGGGCCGTTTAGTCTGCTTTTGGCCCGTCTCAGAAATGGATTTTATCTGTGCGATCACACCGTCAACATCTGCCTCCCGTCCCCAGCCGTCGCTTTCCGGCTCAAAACCGCTTTAACCCGGAGTATTTTGATACCAGGTCCCCAAGTGGTCTTTTCCTGATTCTCCGGTTCCAGCTGCATTTTTCCCGTGTGATCGAGCCACTTCCGGTTTAAACCCCCTTCCCGCTCGAAAGCTGCTCGAGGCTTCCGCTTTTTGCCCACCATTTTTTAAAGCATTGGTGGCATGCGCATATGTGGAGCTCCACCCCCGCATTATTAAAAACAATGTTTTTGTGCCTAGTTTTAGCGTTTGGACGAGTTTGGGATCTCACGGAGGCCATTTTCAGGGTAAACGGTTAAAGGGAAGTGTTCCTTTAAAGTTTTTAAATGGAAGTGTTACAGCTGTCGGGTTGAAGTGGAAATCGCTGTTTTGCGCACACGCGAAAATTTTAGTTCTACCGATGGCTGCCTGTGCGCATGCCCAAACAGAGAGAAAAACAACACTGACGCACGCTCTCACATGTGGAAGGCGAGGAGCTATGTTGCTGCGCAGCGATCCGGAACAAGGAGGTGTGATCACAGTTCTCCAGGTTAAAAAAAAAACACATCAGGGCCGGAGCAGTTTAACCCACTCCCAGCACGCCGTCTGACCGCACCCATAGGATCGCACTGTCAGTAAGTGTAACTGCAGGCATTCAGCCGGTCACCCCTGCTTCTCTCTCTCTCGGCTCCCTGGCCTCTTTCCTGATTTCCTTCTGTTAAATGGACGTTATAAACCTCTGAAAGTACAGACCTGTCTATTTTGCTTGTATTATTTTATAAAGTCTCATGGGGATTGATGGCAGTACAAAATCAACAAACGTCACCTTCCTGGCTCCCTCGTTTCTTGTAACCCAACCTCTCCCTGCTCCCTGCCTTTTGTGCTTTCCCTTTTCTTTCCCTTTCACCGTCCACCCAGCGGTTCGAAAGCTTCGGCGAGTAGATAAAATGGGTACCACTCCTTAGAGAGGGTGGGCACACTAAAACCCCTTGGGGAGGTGTTAGCCGGCGAATGTAACGTCCAGCTCTGAAGCCTGGAAAAAAGACCTCTTCGGCATCAAAGAGCCTGTAATGGGCCAATCCGGCCAGGTGGTGGCAGTGCGGCGCTACGACTCAAAGCCAGCCCAGGAAGAACTAACGTGATCAAGCCAAGCCGGAATGAATGCCGCCCGGAACACGACTGAAGCCTACAGCTGAACAAAATCCCTGTCGGCTGCAAACGTGTGCGATTTAAAGAATTATATGTTGTCCTCCCTTACCCCTATCATTGTTAGTCCCTTATGAAAACCTGTGTAACTGTAAATCGCTCAGAGCCAGCAGCTCTGCAGGATTGAGTGATCAATAAATCGAAAGGTATTATTATTATTATTATTCTGTTTTTGTTTCAAATGAGATGGTGGACCTACCTGGGCTGTTATTTTTCTACCACTTTTACACTTTTATAATATCTTCTTTATGCAGGGACTTGACAGATGATTAAAAAAAATTATTACGTGGCGCAGTGCTTAGAACGTGAGGAACTGGGAGACGCAGGTGCCAGCCTCTAGTCTGCCATAGAAATTTGATGGGTGATCCTGGGCTAGTCACATATTCTCAGGCTAACCTACCTCACAGGGTTGTTGTGAGGCTAAAACAAAGGAGAGGAGAACAATGCAAACAACTCTGTGTCCCCATCTGGGGAGGACAGCAAGGTATAAATGAAGAGAATCAATCAAAAATCTCACTGGCCAACGATATGGGGGAACCCATTCGTTTCCACTAATTTGAAGGGGGGGATCAATTTATTTTGCCCCTCCTTTCCTCCTTACTTCTTCCCCACCCCAACCCCCATTTTATTCTCACAACACTACTATGTGGCAGGGGAAACTGAGAGTGGCTAACCCAGGGTCAAAGTTAGAGTCCAGTGGCACCTTTAAGACCAACATAGTTTCATTCAAGGTGTGATACTTTTGTGTGCACACACACGTTGTTATTCACCAAGGGAGGGGTATAAATCCAAACTCTTCTTCTTCTTCTCCTCCCGTCAGAGGAAAAGCGGAGAAGGTCTTGGGTCTGAGCCCACAAAGTCACATAGGTGTGAAAAGAATTATAAGAAACCTGTGAGCTGACCAGAGAATCTTTACTGTCTCCTGTAGAGTAAGTCTAGGGCCTCGAGGATACATGAATGAATCTGAAGGATTTTTGACAAGTCCAATTGCCAGAGACTTTTTCAAGGATGGAACCTGCCATCTCACACATGGGATGAAAAACACATGTGGATAGCCTTGAGCCACCATGTTAACTGAAGGATGGGATGGGAAGAAGAGGTGACTCCCCAAGGGCTGTTGTCTAACTGGACTGAAGAATTCATAGCCTCTCTGGGGAGCCTCCACCCCCCCACACTAATTCCCAGCACGGACTAAGGCAGTGTAAAAAGAGTGACCCAGATTAAAGGAACATACATCACAAGCACGGCCTGTGAGACGTGGTGTGTCAAGCTCCCTTCAAAGGGGATAGTGAAAGGGCCATATTGGCCTGCTGTGTCAGAACTTGAAGGGAAAGTGCAGCAGAGAAATTCCGCTTGAGCAAGTTCGCTGTTTTCATCTGGGAAGAGCACCCAAATGTTGCCTGTCAAAATCAATCACTGCGATCCCTTCTGGACTCCCCGCCTGGTCCAGGATACCTCCTGTCCTTTCCCTCTCCCAAACCCAACCGCCCCTCTCAGTTAGAAGGCAGTTTGGCTTAGGAGGGATTTTCCAGAACAGTCTTCATTTCATCAATCTTATTTTTAGACCACTTTTCTCTATAGCTCAAAGAAGAGGCCATGTAAAACCATCATAATGCAAAGTTTAAAAAAAGAACTTTTAAAAAGGAGGAGAGTTGGTATTTCACTTTCAAATTACAGATGTCAACTTTTCAAGCCTTCCGCAAATCCTGATCTGCCAGAACTCAACAGGGCGAGAAACATTTCACATCCCTCTGCTAGGAAAAAATTCCTTCCCTCAGTGCAGAAGAAGGTAGCCCTGACCAGCCACTGCTTGTCTGATCCTCAAACCACTTCCATTCTAGAGGGACTCAAGATGTCCATTCGCTATCTGAACAACCTGAGGTCCAGTGGCTGAGCCCCGTCCTCCTCCTCCCCACCCCACCCCCCACCCCTGCATCGGCCATGCTGCCCAGAGATTGGTCCCTGTCCGCCAGATGCTGATGTCACAAGGCCCGCATCACAAAGGGAGGCAGAGGTGTATAAATAGGCTGGAGCCTTGGCAGTTGGAGTCACACAGCAGAGGCTGCGAAGGGAGAGGCCTGCCGATGGGCTCCTGGTAAGCCACCCAGAGGGCCAATGGTGAATCTTAACGTGGGAGTTGATGGGGAGAAGTACGGTTGGCGGGAGATGGCGAGGCAGGAGGTGGGGAGGAGGAAGATGGAGACAGTTTTATTGGAGACGGTATTTGACCGGTTTAGTTTTGAAAGACTGGCAGTCCAAATTGGGAGTTTTTCTTCATTGCGGCTTTGAACGGGTTTTTATAACTGCTATTTTATTTGTCTTTGTTTCAGAGGCTCCAGAAACAGCAAGATCGGCGAAAGGTGTGCTGAAGATGCAGTGATCTGGGGTTTCCCTCCCCTCCCCTCCCCTCCCCAGCTCACCGGCACCCCCTCCTCCACTAACCCTGTCTCTCTTTCCTCTCTTTTGACTTCTGTGTCTTCTGACCCCTTAGCTCCACCATTCCTACTGTTTGCTGTTTCCTCTCTGCCACCACTCTAACTCCTCTTCTTTCCTTTTCTTCCTCTGCCTCCCCATCCCCCCATCCCTTCACTCTTCCATCCACACTGACCCACCCCCTACTAACCCACTAACTTACCCGCCCCCGCTGTTCCCGCTCCCCTTCCCTCCACTGGCCCCGCCATTCCCTATTCCACTCCCTCCGGTGCCCCAAGCAATGGCTGGGGCGGTAGTGGGAATGGAACAGGGAGTGATTGGGGGTGGTGACGGAAAGGGAACCAGGGACATGCCAGCTACGGACCTCCCATTCCATCGTTTCCCAAGAGGAACGCGTGGAATGGGAGGCCTGTGGCTGACCCCTCCCCTGCCTCCCCCCCCCCTCCCCGGGGAGCGGGAATTCCATGGTAGCTGCGCCAGGCAGTGGCCCTTTGCTAGAGAAGTCTTCCGCTGGAGCCGGTGAGGTAAGCACTTTGCCTTTGTGCTGCGTCCAGCTCAGTGTCATCAGCACATCTGCATGATCCCTTTTGTTGCCATGACACGGTATCTGGCTATTCAAGACCTGGTATTGTGAATGCTCTTTTAAAACGTATTTGTATTGAAACAATTTTTGTTTTTTAGAAAAACCATTTCGAAAAGCAGCTTCCAAGAACCAGAAATAAGTCATTCCTGAGGCGGCAGAGTTATTATCTGGCCCTTGAAGAGCACAGGAGGTTGGCTCCTTGACGCTGCAGCGCCTTCGGGATTCCGCCTACTGAGGAGAGGAAGGAACTGTCAAGAGACCCTGTGAGGACGCTATGCCTTCAACTGTGCCGGGCTGAACATGATGCAGATCCCAGTGGGTCAGAGCAGATGAACAGCGTCATGGCTGAAGCAGGAGGTCAGTTCTGCAACGCTTTCAGGATTCCTCCTATTGAGGAGAGGAAGGAAGTGCCAAGACCCTGTGAGGACGCTATGCCTACAACTGTGTGGGGCTGAACATGATACGGATCCCGGAGAGTCAGAGCAGGTGAACAGAATCATGGCTGAAGCAGCAAGTCTGTTCTGCAGCGCCTTCGGGATCCATCGTCACGGGGTCTGTGCAGGCACACATTGCGTGGGTGTGCAGGCCAGCCGCAGAAAAAATTGCCAAGTCATTCTAAGAATAAACTACATTTAAACTACACAAACTACATTTAAAGGATACATGTGTCTGCTGTGTCATTATGGGTCAAAAGGGGCCTCCTCGCGATTGTCCCGGCTGTGGCTTTAAAAGCAGCGCTGACAAAGGCCCATTCTCTGCGCCTTCTCTGCCCAGGGGTTCACACAAGAGAGGGCTGGGCTAGGATCAGGAATAGCCAGGTGCGAATGCCATTCTGTCTGGGAGCTTGCTTGGGGGACCTTGGGCCCATCATTTTCTCTCAACCCTACTGGTCTCGCAGGGTTCTGGTGAGAATAGAAAAGTATTAAATGTTATCAGCCATAAGACGGGGTACAGATAAACGCCATACCCCTCTTTTTAGAGGACATCTCTTTTCAAAGGACTCCAAACAGCTGCCCCCTGGGACAAGGTCTTTGATGTGCAAACTCTATTACCTGATGGGGACGGCTTCTAATACAGTCCTTTAGCACACCTGTGCTTGACTTCCCTGGTCATCTCTCTTGTTGTTGTTTTGTTTTATTGACTACGTAAACAAAGACATACATACAAACATACTACACTACTTCTAAACATAAAACGGGTATAGTATGTTTACATATCGCTTATTGCCTCTTTTCTAATACATATAGTTTCTACCTTATACTAACAAAAAGATTGTTTTGCAACAGTAAGGAATCTTAGTCTCTTCATGTCTTCTTCTCTCACGTCTCACAGCCAGTGTTTGTGATGTATGTTGTTCATTGTTTTGCTGAAGTAAGGATATTATGTTTATGCCATTAATAAAATCATCTCTTTTAAAGGTATCAGGAAAAAATGTTCAATAAGCAGGGCTATTTTTGGGCAGGAACGCACAGGAACGGAGTTCCGGCTGGCTTCAGAGTTGGCCACGCCCACTACAGCCAAAACCTCTGCGTGCCTGGCTACAGGGAAGGCCTGGAGAGCGACACACACCCCCCAGCGACTCCGAGGCCGGCTGGCCGGGGGGGCCCTGGAAGGATCGGGGAGGCATTTAAATGCCTCCCCGGGCCTGTCCAAGGGCCAGCTTGCCCGGGGTCCCTGTAGCCGCGAGGTGCCTGGACAAGCTAAGGGAAGGCCGTTTAAACTGCCTTCCCTTCAAGGGGGGGCTTGCCCGGGCGCCCCGCAGCCGTGGGGCGCCCAGGCAAGCCAAGGGAAGCCATGGGGTGTGACCTAACATGCTAATGAGTTTCTGCTTTTGGGTGTGGCCTATTATGCTAATGAGTTCCTGCTGGGCTTTTTCTACAGAAGCCTGCTGGGCTTTTTCTACAGAAAAAGCCCTGTCAATAAGTATACTTCAGGAGTAAAGGGAACATTACATTTCAACAGATTCTGAAATGTAATGTACCCTTTACTCCTGAAGTATACTTATTGAACATTTTTCCTGATACCTTTAAAAGAGATGATTCTTACCTTTTGATTTATATAACTACTTCAGCCAGAATATTATATGCTAAATACTGGAGATGCCAAGAGCTGCCAAGTAAGGGGGAACTTATTAATAACATTTTTGAAGCGGCAGAAATGGACAAGCTTACGTTAACCTTGAAAGACCGCTCAGAAGATTCATTTGACAATCTTGTTGTTGATGGGTGGCCTCTTCTCTCTCTCATTCAGCCACTGGGGGGGGTTGCTGTCGACTGCTAGCCTGGATGGGAAGGGGAATTTCTCTGCCGCAGTCTCCCCTCCAAGTTGTGACACAGCAGGCCAATATGGCCCTTTCACTATCCCCTTTGAAGGGACCTTAAAACGCCACGTCTCACAGCCAGTGCTTGTGATCTATGTGACAAATCTGTTCCTTTACTCTGGGTCACTCGTTTCACACTGCCCTAGTCTGTGCTGGGAATTAGTGTGTGTGTGGAAAGGCTCCACAGAGAGGCTATGAATTCTTCAGTCCAGTGGGGAGTCACGGGCTAGTTGTCTGATCCATAAGGGTCACCTCTTCTTCCCCTCCTTCAATTAACATGGTGGCTCAAGGTTATGCATACATGGGCTTTTTTCTGCACTTGGATTAATCTGTCCTCTAGGCCCTCGATTTACTCTACAAGAGACACTAAAAATTCTCCAGTCTGCTGTCTTATCGGCCACTCACAGGTTTCTTACAATTGTTTTCACACCTATGTAGGGCTGCCAAGTGGGGGCAGGGGGCGGGTAAACCCCCGCTTTGGAGGCCCGATTTCCGCCGCTGCGGAATTAGGCCCCAGGGGAACCCCACCCCTGCGTGCGCGTCACCAGGAATTTTGGCGGCCAGCTATCTCGATAGCACGGTCTCCCGCACCCTGTCTGTAAACTCCTGCCAGGCAATGCTTACCCCCCTTTAGTGGGGGCAGCCGATGACACACTACCGCGGTGGTGGGGTAGTGGCGGTGGCGGCTCCTACTCATAAGCCTGGCGGAAGAGCTCTGTCTTGCAGGCCCTGCTTATGTTCCGCCTTTCTTACTTGGACTCAAGATGGATCACACAGAGGGAGTCAACACAATCAAGAAGACGGGACATTCAACAGACAATGAAATGGGATTTGGGTTATAGAACCAACCAGAAGTCTACAAACAGAACTGAACACGACACAAAATTACCCAATAGGATCCAACCCCCAGCAAACTACTCACAGTAGTACAGAGACTTCAAGAGGCCTTTTGTACCGTGCTACCCTATTGCCTGCACAGAACAGTCCTCTTGAATAATTCAGTTTTGCGTAGTTTGGAGGAAGCGAGGAGCGCAGGAACCTCATGACATGATGCCACGTTGTGTTTCCCCCTTCCAGATTGTCGGCCACCACTGATGCCTGTACACATGCCTTCTCTGTTGTGGCTTCCACCTTGTGGACTGGCCTGCCTGAAGAATATTCAGTGCTCACAGCGCTCACAGACATAACGTGGAACAGCACTGAATACTTTGTCACTTCCACCAGAGATAAAAACCACCTCACGTGGCATCTATGTTTATTAAACCACAACTGCACAACGTTTATGTTATCCCAGCATTTCTGCCACAATAAACAGAAAGACAGAGAAAGGCAGACACCAGGTCCTTAACCAAGCCATGGAATCATGGCAGCTGTTCAGGTCAACGGCGTACGTCTCAAAGAGTTTAGGGCCAGCAGTCCGCCCTTCACACTCCACACATCCCTTTTGGGGAAACATCAAAATAGCCAACGCAAATGTGACTTCCAGGCACAGCATGAAGCAGTCCTGAAAATGATCTAGTGTCCACACTGGCCAGGCTTGGACTGGTTTGTGAGCCTGCAGACATGGTTGGACTCTCTGCTGCTGGCCTAGTGTGGTGGTGTTCTTACCACAGGTACTACCTAGAAACAGTCGCAAGACACAAAACAGCAAAAACAAAAAGACTAAGCTTAACATAACAAAACTTTGTTGGTCTTAAAGGTGCCCCTGGACTCTAACAAAGTGTGCGTGCCCACGAAAGCTCACACCTTGAATAAAACTGTGTTGGTCTTAAAGGTGCCCCCACTGGACTCTAACTTTGTTCTGCTGCTTCAGGCCAACATGGCTACCCACCTAGATCTAACTCAAGGTCAGACAATGAACTTCCTGGGAGAATGGGAATTTGAACCCAGGTCTCTCAAGTCCTAGTCCAACAGCCCCTCTGGCTCTTGTTATGGTTGCCAGCTCTGGGTTGGGTAATTCCTGGACATTTTGTGGGTGGAGCCTGGGAAGGGAGGGGTTTGGGAAGGGGAGGGACCTCAGCAGGCTATAAAGCCACACAGTCCACCCTCCAAAGCAGCCATTTTCTCCAGGGAAACAGATCTCTGTGGCCTGGAGATCAGGTGTAACTCCAGGAGAACTCCAGCCACCACCTAGAGGTTGGCAACCCTACCGTTGATTTTCCTCTTTCACAGATGCCATTAATCAACTCCAGAGACCAATGATTTCAGGAGCACTGAAGGTGTGCACTGGCAGCCCCTTCACTTCCAAAATTAGGAGCATTTGTTGATTTCAATGGGAGAAATGTAAGCATAATTTTTGAACTGTGGTGAGTTAAGAGGTAAATGCTCTCCCTGAGATTACATAGATTGGGATTTGTAATTAATTTGACACATAAATACTGGGGCCCCTCCCTTTCTTCTTACCTTTTCACCTTCCCACTGGAAAAAGCTACAGTCTTTTCTTTCTCTACAAGCCGAACAAGCATAAAATCTTCTCCCTTCTCCCTTCCCTTGACGAATCTTTGTGAACAAAAGAGCAGGCCCTGGAAGAGAGAGGGTTACCTGGATGCTTTTCGAGGCAAATGGAAGACAGAAGGGTGTACACAGGCTAACTACACACAGGCTGTGATCACACACACTAAATAATTCACTTTCAATGCACTTTTCAAACTGGATTTTGCCCGTTCACACAGTAAGATCCAGTGGGCAAGTGCCTTGAAAGTGGCTTATTTAGTACGTGTGATCACAGCCACAGAAGAGGGCGGTTAGGATTCACATCAAAAATGCCCCTGCCTTTCACGTGAGCAATGTTCCCTCTAAGCTGTGGAGTCCTGTGAGCAAAAATTCCACTTTGTGAGCTACTGGCATTAAAGTTGTGAGTGAGCGATTTGGCCACTGCATAAATTAGTTTGCTCTGGAGCCATCCTCCCTGAGCTAAGACCAAAATGCGTGAGCCGGAGGCTAAAGAAAAGTGGGCTAGCTCACACTAACTCAGCTTAGAGGGAACACTGGTCCAGAGAGCAGAAAGGTGCAGGTAGGACCCCACTGGAGTCCATGGCACAGAAGCATCCCTGTGCAATACTGAGAAAGGTCAGGAAATCCCACTTGATCTGTCCATACGCTTTGCTGGAAGAGCTGAGGGTAGCATTGCAGAGGGAAAGCACAATTTAGAACAAAATGGTTGGGGAAATAAGGTTGGTCGTGGGCAGTGTTCCCTCTAAGCTGAGTTAGTGTGAGCCAGCTCACAGTTTTTTAGCCTCCGGCTCACACATTTCTGTCTTAGCTCAGGAAGGAGGGCTCCAGAGCAAACCAATTTATGCAGCAGCCAAAGCTCCTGCTCACAACTTTAATGCCAGCAACTCACAAAGTAGAATTTTTCTCCCAAGACTCCACAGCTTAGAGGGAGCATTGCTCGTGGGGGGGCTTCTCTGCAGCAGTCCCTTAAGTTGACTGAACCCCAAAATTTTGCTAAGAGTAAAACTGGGCTCCAAGCCTGCACCTTAAACCCCCAGTCTGGGGTCAGCAGAGGACTCACCGTGCGGACAGTGCGGGGCCGGAGCACCGGTGGGGTCTCGATCCCCCAGCAGCAGCGCCACCCCCAAGCGGGGACCCCCCTCCATCGCCCTCCGCAGGCGCCGCCCACGCACACGCGGCAGCCGACACTTCTGGTTCCCAAGCGACCGTGCCAAATCCGGCCGACGTAGAGGGCGCGGGGCGGAGGGCTTCGCTTCTGCGGCGCACGCCGCGGCGGCCGTCGTCCCACTGGAAACCTGAAGTGAGGACCACGGCTGATGGCTCTAGACTTTTCCCATCCCTATGCTCTCGTGGCCGGAGAGAGCCCCGGAGGGCCAAACTTGCCGCACCGTCACTTCCCCAACCCCGCGGCTACAGCGCCACCTACCGTCCCCGCCAGACAAGACGGGGGGACGGGACAGAGGAAGGGCCGGGCATTGAGCCCTCACCTTTGAGCACCTTAAAGGTAAAGGTTCCCTTGCTCGAAAGCCAGTCGAGTCCGACTCTAGGGTTGCGGTGCTCATCTCCGTTTCAAAGCCGAAGAGCCAGCGCTGTCCGAAGACGTTTCCGTGGTCATGTGGCAGCCATGACTAAACACCAAGGCGCACGGAACGCTGTTACCTTCCCACCGAAGTGGTCCCTATTTATCTACTTGCAATTTCTTGCTTTCGAACTGCTAGGTTGGCAGGAGCTGGAACTGGAGACGGGAGCTCACTCCGTCATGCAGCACACTCGGGTCTCGAACTGCTGAACTACTGGCCTTCCACAGCCTGCAGTTCAGCGTCTTAACCACTTGAGCACCTTACTGTTCTTTATTAATAAATGCAGTTTGTTATTACTGTTGCCAACCTCCAGGTGGGGTCTGGCGATCGCCTGCTTTTACAACTGGAAAAAATGGCTGCTTTGGAGGATGGACTCTATGGCATTATGATACCATGCTGCGGTCCCCGTCCCCCAAACCCCGGTCTCTCCAGGTTCCATCCCCCAAAAGTCCAGGTGCTTCCCAAACCAGACCTGGCAACCATTATTATTATTATCAGGGGTCATTTCGAAGAAAAAGAGCTAGGGGAACTCATTAGCATAACTCATTAGCATAACTCATTAGCATATGCCACACACCCTGACATCACCAGAAGTGCGTCATAAGGCCACACCCCCTGACATCACCGGAAGTGTGTCATAAGGCCGCACACCCCGCCCCCAACAGTCTCGGCCGCCGCCGGCCTTGCAGCTCCACTGCCGAGCCCCACGAGGGGCCCGGCGGTGGACATGCAAGGCCGGCGGGAGTGCAAGGAAGCCCCGCGAAGGCCCTCCCTGGCCCCAGGCAGGCAGGGGTGGGGAGAGGCAGGGAGGAAGCAACTTACCCTCCCTCTTCTCCTGCCTCCTCCTGGCTGAATGAGGGCCGGAAGCGGGGCGGCCGGAAGCAGGGGCTTCGTCATGTGCCCCCCCCGTACCTCACCCGGGGGGACTGCGATCCCCCCCCAAATGACCTCTGATGATGATGATGATGATGATGATATTATGGTTCTTTTTGTAGCAGGACCTCCCCTGCCCTCCCCGCGAGTAGGCTCAGGGCAGCTTACAACGTTGGCACAAAATACCAATAGAACCATATAAAAACATTTTAAAACAAAGCAATACAGATAAAACTCATAAAGTCATAGGGTGCTAGTGATCGTTCAGTGCGTTGCTTGTGATGGCGTGCTAAGGATGTTTACAAGCTGACAGTGGTCTTCCTGAGTCACTCGGTGGGAAAAGCCAGATGTTAAGGCTGAGGGCCGGGCTCCTTGATGGTAGTAGTTGAAAGCCTGGTGGAAGAGCTCTGTCTTGCAGGCCCTGCAGAACTGTAAAAGATCCCGCAGGGCCCTGATCTCTTCCGGGAGCTCGTTCCACTAGTAAGGAGCCGCTGGTAAGGATATGAGGAAGAACCAGGTATGCTGCAGTGATAAAGTAATGCAGGATACCTTAGTTAACACGTAGGAAGCACTGGCCTCAGAGAGGTCACTCCCTTTGCTGGGAATGAAGGAATAAACTTTTTGGATTCCAGGCTGAGAGGAGAGGAGTCCTCTTTATGGAGACAAATGGGCAGGATGGAGAAAGAGCGAAGTCGGAATCAACCAGCCTGTTCAAAGCTCCAGCCACGCTTGTGTCTATTTCTGAGCAGGGGATGTGTCAAGGTACACTCGGTGACCTGTACTGCTTCGTTAGAGCCAGTGTTCCCTCTAAGCTGAGTTAGTGTGAGCTAGCTCAGTTTTTTAGCCTCTGGCTCACACATTTTTGTCTCAGCTCAGGAAGGAGGGCTCCAGAGCCAACTAATTTATGCAGTAGCCAAATTGCTTGCTCACAACTTTAAAGCCAGTAGCTCACAAAGCAGAAGTTTTGCTCACAAGACTCCACAGCTTAGAGGGAACATTGGTTAGAGCCTCCTCCGTTTTTAGTTAGCATCAGTGATGTTCCTGCTAAGGTTCTGAGACTATTTTTTCCTGTGTTCCTAAAGGTCGTCTCCCACCCCCTCCCGATTTAAAAGACCTCAGATTGTGACCTAAGGTTCTTACCCCCAAGTGCCTGGCTGTTCGACCACGCCTAGACGAAGATTCCCGACCGAGCCAGAGTTAGATAAGTAGGCGGGGTGTGTGTGTGTATGTGGCATACATGCATAGCCGCCTTTATCTGCTGATAGGGACAGAAGGACAGAGGCTTGAGTGGTGGCAGCATACCCCGTACAAGAGGAAAGGGGGCATGTGGGCAAGGCCCCGCTCGCACACACTGATGCCCTGACTGCCTCTTGGGTACCCTGAGGCAAGGAGGAGTGGAGAATTATCACAGACCCCACTCTGAGCTCCTTTGAAGGAAGACAGGATAAGAGGTACCAGCCAAGAATGCTTACCAATCTCGCATAAGGATTTCCATTAATTTACGGAGAATATGCTTTCCAAGAAAGGGCACTTTCTGTAAAGACGTGCAGGAAACTATCTAGCGTCTGTGCAAACAGTGGACATGAAGTCCAGCACATAGTTTAGTCTTCCATGCAGCATTCCAATGGGCAGAGCACTGAACCAGAGATACGGAGACTCAAATTCCCATTCATCAAATTGTCGGCACATTCGCGGTACTCGTCTTTCTGCGTAACTATAATGCCCCCACCCATCCCCTTTCCTCCCCTCAGAGGCAAGATTTTCCCTCAATTTTTCTTGCCCTTTACTGACTGAGCCGCCCTAGTAATGTGTTTTCTTCTTTCCTGAAGAACTCTGGCTGTCCCAGCCTGTCGAAGTATGATATTTTGGCTGTTTGCTCAGCCCAGGCACCTGAAGGAAGGATTGGGAGCCCCTTTTAATTTAATGGCACTCGAGACGTTTTCATATTCCAAATTAATGAAATCAGGGGTTGAAATTTCTGAGGTAAAACCAGTACAGGCACAGACTTTAGTTCTTATGTTTCGGGCTAATGAGAGTTTCTTTAGCTATTCAGAGTTACTTAAAATCTTTATGTTGAGAAACGTTTGTTCCAGTGTTTCCCCAAACACTCCAATATACTTTCTTTGAGTATTCTCTGCCTCATTTGGTTTCCAAAAGGCTGGTACTCTCTTTCCAGTACCCAAAACCCTTCTCTTGAAACACCGGTACTCGTCTTGAGTTTTTAACTGACTCTTAAGGTCTCCAAAGGCAGTTTCTAAACACACCAGACCAGGGATCTCTGCACTCTTCAGAGCTAACTTTCCATTTGACTGGGTAGGGAAATTCTCCTCTCACTAGAAGATCTATCCCCTTTCCTTTGGCCTGAAAAGGAGTCTGTCTAACTACCCACTCGTCCTTGCCAACTTTCCCCAGTTCTGTCTGTGTTAAACTGCTCTCAGTGAGGGTTGCAGTCCAAATGAAATCTCTTCCTCAGCATTCTGCTCTAAAGTCTCTTTTTGCTCAGTTGATGCTAACCAATCAGATTGCTTGGAGCAGCCTGTCTGTGAAGAATTAATCCTTTACAGTCCTTCAGCTGTTTCTACAGCACTTCTAAGCATTTTAAAAAATGCAGTCTGTCACAGTGACCTACCTCGCAAGGCTGTTGGAAGGAAAATCTTAAGGGAAAGATGAGAAACATAACTCATTAAGACATGTGGAACTACAAAAAAGGTGCATCACAGACCATGACGTTTATTGTCTTATGTGAGCAGAGTCTGATAATACCTCCTTCAAAAAATTTAAGAGTATTGATAAAAACAGAAACCACAGTAAATGTATAAAGTTGACAACTTTGTTTTCTCAAGCCACAGTACAATGAATTTTATATTTTAATTTAAGGCTTAGACATTTTAGTATATCAAGTATATCATCCCAACATACTACATTAATTGGTTTACCAACTCCCAAATCGTATGAATCCAAAAAGTGACCACTTCAAATAGTTCAGAAGTATTGCTCAGCAGCCTAAAATACAGCATTGCCAGAAACACTTAACAGAGAACTTTCATAAAAAAGCAATCTTTGCTACAGGCATTACTTGAGGTCCTGACATTCAAGTATAACACTGAATTTAAAAAAAAACAACAACGTACAACTAAGGGGTCTAAAATTATTAGCTCTGCAACTGACATTTCAGAATAAAGTTATATTCAGCAACAGAGTCCCCAGACTGCTGAGGATTTTTGTGATGAGAAATGGATGGGAGCCCACAAAATGAGCCAATCTGCAAACCTTTCTCATTCTGATAAGATTTGGCGGCTACGAAATTGGGATCTAACATCAGGGCAAGGATTCTAGCATACTACCAGTGGACACGATTCAACTTTGGTGTTAAGCTGAAGAACTGACATTGACTGCAATTAAAAAAGGAAAGGGGAAAAATGCAATAAAAGGCTGTGATGAAACATAGCAGAAATCTTGTCCTAAAGAAAAAAAATTCAGTACATCAGTCATAAAAACAACTCACAAAATCTCAGGACCAAGAAGTACAGTAACACAAATGCATACAGCTCTAAGTGGAGACAAGCTTTTTAAGTGCATTCTTTAAGCATGAAAAAACTAACCCTGAATAACTTGGCCTGCAGCAAGAAAAACAAAACCTTGGGAGTATTTTAAGACTCGGTAAGAAGTAGAAAGGCATTCTTGTGCTTTTATCTTCTCTTCCCCTAGTGGTACCTTTAAACATTAGGTTGGCTCAACGGCGAGGAAAATACCTGGAACTGAGCTTACAATGGGTTCTTACACACACACACCCTCACATTCCATCTATAGACAACAGGATGGAGGGACAAGCTTCCAATTCATATTCACATCTATGACCCACACAAGTATGCCCACAGGTCCCACTAATAATCTATCCCTTCTCGAGGGAGTTGAGCCGAGGCACATATCTAAGTGTGCAAGCTCCAATAACACAATATGCTCTATGCGCCAAGTTCTCTTAGGCAGGGCATATGCGTGATTAAAGGCTCGCTTCCACCTTTCCTCACAAGCAGGACGGTGAGGCTGGGAACTGAGCAGCAGAATTCAGTAAAAACGTTCTGGAGAACCATGAAATAAATCCCCCTCCTGTATTTTTGTGGAATTTGTTTAATTACCCTTCATGACCTTTGTTTCCAAATGTGCAAGTAGCGATACTGGTCCCATTGAAGAGACAACTCTGTGATGTCTGACTACACAGAGCTCTAAGAACCCATGGAGAACTTTGATATTAAGGAAGAATGTCGGGCAGGACTTTCGCAGACGAGTAATGGAAAGGCTCTGCTCCATTTTTAATAAAGACAGACCGATTTCTGACGTTTCTCTCCAACGTAACGGTTCTTACATTATAATCAAAAGTAGTCTTTGGCATTGTAAACTTCGTCTCCCCCCTTTAATCTTAAGTACAGAAAACATCAACTCTGCCTACAAAAATATAGCATCGGACAAGTTCCTCATTTTCCCTGATGCAGAATTTCACAATTTTAAACAAACTGTAAACTTATTACATTCAAAATACAAAGCCTAAAAGGTTTTGAGGTTTTGGCAGTCCAGCACTCTGTGTCCAGCAGAATTCCATTATTGTGAAACCTTGACACCATAGATTTTTGCTAAAACGAAGCCTTCTATCCAGCTCCTACCAGGAAGAAAAAAAAGGCTTCCGGCTATGAAACGTCTGAGTGAATGCATTGCCCAGATGAACGATCCGTCCTTGCGTCCCACCTTGGCTTCTCTCCACAACCACACGAGGCATCTGTACAAGTTGCAGAGGACTCTTCCCATCCTTTAGTGCCTGAGTAAGATTAAGTATCTGTAGGGGGGGGGGGAGAGTATATATGGTAGTAAGAAGCTTGCTCTTTCAAGAAACAGCCCCTAAAGCAAGTTGGCTTCACTTTCCAGGTTATCCCAACCCAGTACCCTTTTGAGCACTAGGGCCAAGTGTGCGCTGACCCTCAACCGATTGCCAAGACTGCCCGCCTGAACCCCTTTTATCAGCACCGCCTCCCTTCATACACCCCTTTGTTGCTTTGGGTGTTGTCATTTCAGGGCTCTCTGCGGGAATAGAAAGTCAGTGGTGATATACGGCTCCTCAGTGCCATTAACAGAGGTTCAAGGCTGACCTAAGGCTGACTGCTGAGTAGTCGCAATTTCAACACCTACGTCATGTGGAAACCAATCTAAAAAGCTTGGGATGTAATAGAAGGCGGTCTTACCTGCCCTCTCATGACAGACATTTGATTTTCAAAGGTAGCCTTGTCGAACCCTTTGTCAGTCTGCGTTCAAAAAGACACATTCAGAAAATCTCACAATGCATGTCAGACCTACATGTAGTCACAGGTTTAAGAGAGTTCTTTAAAATAACATACTTTTATTCACATATTTTGGAAAGGTATCGAATCGCGTGCATTTCTCAGCCAATGCAAACAACTTGTAATGCTTTACAGGGTGTGAAATGTCTGAAGTTTTCAGGGAGATACTTTGGACTGCTACTGTGGGTACGTTTCTAATCTCCCAAAGGATACATCTATACTATATATACGGCAAGAAAATCCTAAACCAATTTACTGTCTGTAAGATTTGAACTTCTCTTGTGTCTTTCATTATTTGGTTTTACCCAAAGCCAACTGAGAAAGGAGAAGCCCTCTCCACCTGATATTTTTGCCCACCTACAAAAGTTACCTTGAACAGCTCATAAAGATCTTCGCAAAGATCCTGTACGAAGTTCATGTCAGAGATACGAGGAAGAACCAAATCCACCGTCTCTTGAGAAAAAGGGACCTTTGCTTGTGGCAGCCAAGCCCAGTGGAACGGATCTAATGGGAGAGTGAATGGAGGGATGGAGGGATGGAGGGAGGGAGGGAGGGAGGGAGGGAGGGAAGTCAGGAGATGAAAGGAACAGATTTCCCAGTTAACTTCCTGAACGTAAAACTTTTGCTGCTCTGCGTGTGGAGTTCAGGAAACATAACTGCAAACGTGTAATTTTGTTTATTGTCCTTGACTGAAATTAAACCTTGCAACTGTCACTTTTCAGCAGATTAAATAAAGGGTTTGAAGACAGTATGATTTGTTAAGCCAGGTCAGTTAAACAGCATTCACTTATTCAGTGCCTCAAAAAGCTTTCAGTTGTAAAACTGAGGCAATTCTTATTTGACTCAAGAGCACCTTATGTGAGTACACCCAATAGGGCCTCCCTGTCAGAAACCCAAGAGTGCTGAGAGCACGACCAGCCAGGCACAGATATCAACTCAGATGGGACACAGTGACACGGAAGAGGGGTCCGTAGGGGGTGCAGAGGGGGGGGCAGTTCCCATTCAATCTGTGTCGCAAGGATTGTATATTACCAAGTTACAAGGAACTGCTGCAGGAGGGCTAAAGGATAAGGATCCATAAAGACAGTAAGGTTATGTGTGACCACACCACTTCCAAATAGTACGCAAAGGTACCCATCCAAGCAGCAAGCTGCAGACCTCCTCCTCCTCAAGGAAGGAAGGAAGGAAGGAAGGAAGGAAGGAAGGAAGGAAGGAAATATAAGATTTCTTATGAGCCCAGAAAACCATCCAACAGTCAGGCCCATAGCGACAGGGGGCCCTTGGGGGCAACGCTCCCTCCCAAATTGGCCCTGCCCCCTTATCTCCCGGACCCCCTACCTTAACCCCGGAGGCAGAGGCAACCAAGGGCTGCTGGTCAGGAGGGAAGTGGTGAGAGCAGTTGGCTGGCTGGCGCCCACCTGCCCAAGCAAGAGGGGGTGGGGAAAAAGCACACCCGGTGCCAGCACAGCCAGCTCCGCCCACAGCCCAACTTGCCGAGTGAGCGAGAGCCACTATTTGCCTGCCACAAGCCAAACTGGAGGGGGGAGGGGGGGCAGCAAACACGGCACTTACCTGCCTGTGGCATGGCTGGCTCGCCTTCCCCCTCGCCCGCCAGCTGCCTCGCCTCCCTGCTGCTGCCTCAACTCCTCCGGAGCGAGCTGCTCATTCGGGGTTTGCTTGGTGTGTGCTTTTTTTTTTTTTTTAAAAACAGGGATACAGCTGCGGTAACCCGGCGGCAGCCAGAGCTACGGCAAACACAAGAGCAGCACCAGCTGGTCTGCTGGCTGGGAGGCAGCCTTGCCCAGCAGCGCACGCCAAACCGCCCCCCACCACCATCACGCAGGCCGAGGCAGGGAGAGAGGCAGGGGCCCTGCTCACTTGACCCCAGGGTGCTGCTTGACCTTCCTTGCTTGACCCAATGGTGTGCAGCCACTGTTTGACCCCGCCCAAAATGTCCACCACCCCCCTCCAAAAAAAATGTTCTGGCTACGGGGCTGCCAACAGTGCTTGTTTGGATTCAAGTGTCAGTGTTGAAAAAGGCTGGGTCCCGATAAGCAAATAAAAATCTCATTTTTAAAAAACAAATCAGGCTGGTGCTCTGTGTCCCTCACAGTCGCTCTGGAAGGAATCCCTCCCTTACGTACTGACTTGTCAGTACGTGAAATAAATCGTGGGGTAGATCTTTTAATATGCCACAGCTAAAGAAAGGATGCACAGCAGAGCACCTCTGGCAGATCTAAAGCCACCGTTCTTTACAAAGGGGAGCTCCCACAAGAAGCCACTGCTATCCTACATTTATTCAAGCTCTCAGCGAACAATGGCAGAGATTAACATTAACCAAAACACTCACAGGCTCTCCACTCATCAGGATGTTTGAAGGGAAAAGCTAAGCCATTGTCAATCGCTGCAATTTTAATGACAGGTTCCTTTTCATTAATCCACTGGATATCCTGGGATGGGGGGGGGGGAACACAATTTAGACAGCAAGTTTAGAATTTAGGCACACAAGGCTTGTGTTGACCATTCTATTTGGCACAGTGTAGATGAACGCACCGGATAAATTACAGCAATACAGCCATGAAAAAGAGGCCACAAAAATATTGACGCAAAGTGGCACAGAGTAATTGTGTAAGAATGTGTCAGAATACATTGTTGTAACGCAGAAACATCATTTATCCTAATTTTTAGTGCAAATACTCAACTTGTCTACTTAATTGTGGTCCAGCTTATGAATAAATTGAATCAGAAACATGCAGGATTCTCCATTAGCAATGTAGAGTAATTGTGTAAGAATGTGTCAGAATACATTGTTATAAGGCAGAAACATCATTTATCCTAATTTTTAGTGCAAATATTCAACTTGTCTACTTAACTGTGGTCCAGCTTATGAATAAATTGAATCAGAAACATGCAGGATTCTCCATTACCAACTCAGCCTCTGATTTCTGGCATAAACACCACACAACAACTTACTTGGGGGGGAAATTACAATACGGTAACTTTGAGCTACCCTTTGACCTTACCTTATCTGAGCAGTCAGCTCCATCACTCTGCTTTTCATACCGGACTAGCCAATTGTCATTGCCTCTGTCTTCAACGGAATCAGGAGGAAGAGGAAGCAGAATCAGAACAAGGGCATCTTTACAAAGAGACAGCTTCAAGGTCTCATTATTAAAGGAGAATTAAACAAGTTCTGTAAAATCAACCTTGTATCGGGACGGCGGTAAACGGGGTCTGCCCCAGGTTCCAAACCCCACTCCGCCAAGAAAGCTTGCTGGGTGACTTTGGGCCACTCACAGCCTTTCAGCCTAACCTACCTCACAGGGTTGGTTATGATGCTAAGATGTAGACAAGGAGAACCAGGTAAGTCGCTTCGGGTCCCCACTGGGGAAACAGATGGGGTCTCAATAATGTAGAATAAAATAAAGCAGCAGTAGCAACGTTTACATTCTGATCAATGCCTCATATTAATTTTAATTTTTTGAACCACATTGCTGATTTTGGGGTGCCCCCCCCAACTAGCTGGTCTTCTCTGTACTGAGCAGATGTTTGGAACAAGAAGTCACTTTTTTAGATGAGTGGACTACTGCCTGGTCCACATGTTGTCCTTCTGATGAAAGAAGGCTTGGATTAATGTCCTCCTCTCCTCACTGAGGATTTGAAGAAAAGCAAGTGCTCGTTCCAAGCAAGAGTCAGAACAGATAGAGATTAGCTCACCATTACTTTGCTTTGTCGTTTCAGAAAGGCAGGCAGAGAGGCAGGCCCTGAAGCTGCTGCCAAACCACCAGGCCAGGGCAGCTGCACTCTGAGACAAAGCAAAGGCAGCTGCTGCCGAGGCACATCAGAAACTCTTGCTGTAAACAGACACAGTGGCCTGCAGGCAGTAGGACACCTGAACCAGTAGCTCAGGTCCAGTTTCTCTGCAAATATCCAGTTGTGCAGGGAATTCCAGATGTGCCAATATATGTTGTTTTAATGGCACCAGGCAGAAATCACAAAGCACTCTGAAACAGGAGATCAAGCCATAGTGGCTGTGTTCTGTGGGCCAGCTGCAGCTTTTCATGGAGCATCGCTAGCTGATGGGCCCCGACTCATGAGCCACTTTTGCAGATGTGCATGGGAGGTCTCCCTCAAGAGTCACTCAGCATGTTTTCATTTTCTGGACAAGGAACTGAAACGCCTCCTTATAAATGAGTAAGGGCTTCTAACTCAAAGGAGGTGCCCAACAGTCTCAGGAACCAACACCAACGCAAGCATGGACAAATCCTGTCCTGCAGCTACTACCAGGAGTACAGCTGTAGCAAGCTACAGTTCCCCTCAATGCAGCACTGTGCAACCAAAGCTGCCTCATTACTCTCAAACGCAAACTGCCAAATTCCTCTCCTACGTAACATATGCATTGCATACATAACTGTCTCAGCCCACACACTGCAGTCAGAACAGATGCCTCAAGCCCATGTGACTTTTTCATATGACTTTTTCATCTCAGGGTTTTTTTTACCATCCCTTTCTTAGCACAAGTGACTGGAATGGTTAAATACCTGTGTTCCTGATGACGTAATCAAGCACAACCAATCTTTCAAACTGCGACTGAAACTGTTTCCTGGTATTTTCAGGCAAAGGTTCAGTTTCAAATTTCCTGAGCCAGAAGTCGGCCTCTTTGTAGCCTTCGACAAACAACTGGAAGGAGCCGACCTGCAATTTAAAATAAACCCTGCATTTAGTTAAAAAAAGAACAAAACTGAGTTTAAGCATACCTACCATGCAGCTACTATTCTGAATTTTAAAAAACTCATACCATAATGCTCCCCGTCAAGGTAGGCTGGAGATGGATCCAGTCTCACAAAATGGGGGAAAGATGAAATTAAAACAGTCTTACATATAACAGTTTACAGCAGAGCAAAGGATACTGGAGCTTTTCACGGCTAGCAAAACCCTGCTGGACAGACTGAAGTTGCCATATTGTTTAGCATTGGTAAAGTAACCAAAGTACATTGCTTCAAATTTAAAATTCTTCATACAGGTAGTCAAAGCTCTATGCTAGAAGTGATCACCACCACCACCACCACCACCACCCCCGACTTGGACAGCCCAGACAAGTCTGATCCTGTCAGATCTCGAGAGCTAAGCAGGGTTGACTGTGGTTAGTAACTGGATGGGAGACCTCCTTGGAATACCAGAAGTTGGGAGGACAGAGGCGGGCTTTATTCAGCCACCTCTCGGAATATCCTCCAGACTCCCAGTAGGGGTCAGTCACCAGAGGTCAACGTGACTTTGAGGTGCAGACACACACAAGCACGCACACACAAATACCAAAAAAGTGATGGCCCATCTAAATTATGTAAATTGAACTGGCTTAAATTTGCATAATCTTTATATCTAATGCCCAACATACCCCCTCCGTGCGGATATCTAAGTCTGCACATCAGGGGCACCCGGGGGGCAGGAAAATTTTCCTGCACATTTGGGACAATCCCCAGATGTGCAGAAAAATCTAAAAACTGTAAAAAAAACTATAGTGGGGATACTTAACCCCCCCAAAAAGTAAAGGAGCGTTCCCTGCGCAAGCACAGGAAACGCTCTGAGAACGGCTTCGCCACTGCCAAGAAAGGGGGGTGGGTGGGGGGCCCCAGCCAGGCCTCGCCACTGCTGCCGCTAGGGAAGGGGGGAGGGAGATAGCTTGGCTGACCGAGTTCAGGCCTCGCTGCTGGTGCTGGGGGGGGGGAGGGAGGCTTGGAGGGGTGCGGGCCTCGCTGTGGGTGCCAGGGACGGGGGCAGGAGAGAAGGCTCACCTGCGGCTGCTTCCTTCTCCTCCCATGGAGCTTCTCCCCCCCCCCATGAGCAGTGTTCCCGCTAAGCTGAGTTAGTGTGAGCTAGCTCACCGTTTTTTAACCTCCAGCTCACAGATTTTTGTCTTCGCTCAGGAAGGAGGGCTCCAGAGGAAACTAATTTATGCAGCAGCCAAATCGCTCGCTCACAGCTTTAAGGCCAGGAGATCACAAAGTAGAATGTTTGCTCACAAGACTCCACCGCTTAGAGGGAACATTGCCCATGAGTATCGCGGCGGGTCCCCTTTCTTGTCTATTCCAGTTTTGCTAGTAAGTAGCATTCACGCATCTCTGTCTATTAAGGGAGGCCTCACCTGACAAAAAGGTTGTGGCAAATTAGAGGTCAGCTTCGAACTTACTCTTCCTAAGTGAAACTATAGAGGTGGGGTCAGACCAGGATTTCCTGGATGGCTCATCTGCCCTTGACCCTTTCGACCTGGCTTCAGGCCTCGTTGAGGTACAGGGAAAACCTGATTGCTCTAGTGAACGCTCTCTGCTTACGGACAGATAAGAAATATGTATCTGGATACCTTTGGCAGACCTTTTGGCTGCCTCTGACATGAATGCAAAGCAAAACAATTTATGGAGGCCTTTTCAGTTCACTGCTGAACTCCTTTAGGATAACTTTGCGCACCTGTGTTGTGACATTTGCTGCGGTTTTATGAAAGAGTCTGTTGCTAATTTTTGTAATGTTACAACTTTAAATATAACTGTAACCTGCCGGAGAAAGGCAGGTTTAAAGTGTCTTAAATAAGAGCAAGAGCAATATGGAATTAAAGAAGGTAGGGAGACAAAGCAGTTGAAGCAGGCAAACAAAACATGACAACATACAAGAAATTCTTGTATTGGACATGCCCAATGTGAGTCCTGGAGCGAATTCTATGATTATTTTTACCCTGGTAAAAAGGTATTAAAAACTGACCACTGTTCTATCTACTGGGGGACAGGGAGAAACCCTGAAGTTCTAAACTGTTCCAGCTTCCAGGCTCCTAACAGAATTCCTGTATTTTATACTTAGAAAAGAGTGATCCTGCTAGATCAGGGGTGTCAAACCCCCGGAGGGCTTCTATCAGGCCCGCAGTGGAACTGGCTGTCTTCTGCTGCTTCTTCCAGTTCTGCTGTTGCTGCTGCGTCATTTTAGGTTTGCAGCTTACAGATACACACCTGAACAGCCTACTCAAGATTGCAACAGCACAGACATTTTGATACAATAATTCAGAGCAAGAGGTGTCAGTTATCAGACGCTGTTAAATAAACAAAATATTGCAAGAGTGCTAATGTTTGAAGCATGTTTTTATTTTAAGTTTATATCTCCACTTTATAAAGTTTATAACTTTATAAAGTTTATATCTCCACTACCTGGCATTACATTTTATGACACACATGGCTCGGGCAACAAGGTCTCATTTATGTCAGATCCGGCCCTCATAACAAATGAGTTTGACACCCCTGTGTTAGATACAATATTCTAATAATCTGGAGTCTTCTGGAAGGGCTTACTTACCTTTGGAGGTAGTCCTATTCGATGAAATTTTTTCCCCACCTTTGGCACTTTTTCTAAAGCATACTTCTTGCCTCTTGATTTTGCGCGATCTATTGCACTGTAGTTAAAGGTCTCGCTGACAATCCACACAACCTTGAAATACACAAGGCAAAACAAGATCCAGAGTTATGGTATGCTTACTGTAGCCACATCTTCATACAGAGGTTGTATGTATACTCTTCAGAAGTTACAGAATGTGAAAACTGCCGAGTAGCTCCATCATTTTCTGTGGCGAACAGAAATGGCCACAACCTAATCTATCTAGGCTATTCCTTAAATTCCTTAAAACAGATTTAAACACATTAGCCTGAGATTCCAAGTCTTACACTGAATGTTGTGGAGAATTTTAATAGATCTACCAACTAGCTTGACTCGCTCACAACCAGCCATTTGCTTCCTTAAACACTGGTAAAATCATCCTTTTAAAATGTACAAGGAGCCACAACTTCCCATTTTCTTTTGAAATGGTTTGCTTCAAGCTGCAAGGGCCAAGGTTCTGCATGTCAGAGCAGAACGCTGTGAAATCCAAGTGTAAGATGGAGATACTGATGTTGGGTGGAGGGTGTTGATTGGAAGTCAGAGCTGTTATGCGGAACTTTTTTTTTTTTAGTTTTAAGGGGAGGGGCTGTGGCTCAGTGGCAGAACCTCTGCTTGGCATACAGAAGGTCCCAGGTTCAATCCCCGGCATCTCCAGTTAAAGAATCTGGCAGTAGGTTATGGGAAAGACCTCTGCCTGACACGCTGAAGAGCTGCTGCCGGTCTGAGCAGACAAGACTGACTAGGATGGATCGATGCGTTTATTCACTATAAGACAGCTGCACGTGTGTGCGCTTCCCTTAACTGGGTGGACACATATTCCCCTTGAAGGATCACATGTAGCCGGGGGGACGGGCTACTGCTGGGTCTGTGACGACCTCGTATTGGGGAGGACCAGGTTTCTCTTTAAATTATACTGGGTGTTTATAAAATAGGTAGTTCCGTTTGTCACCAGGAATTTTCTACATTCCAAATCCACTCCCAGCTTCTTATGTTGGTATAGTGTGACCCAGGGTCTAGGCCAGTGATGGCGAACCTTTTAGAGACCGAGTGCCCAAACTGCGACCCAAAACCCACTTATTTATCACAAAGTGCCAACACGGCCATTTAACCTGAATACTGAAGTTATACTTTAGAAAAATCAACTCATACATTAACATAAGATGATTCAAACAAAGTAAGGAAAGCAATCCCAAATGCTTTCATTTACTTAAAATTATTTGGCAGAGAATTCCACACTTTAATGACAGTCTGGGCCTGACTGGGGCAATGGCACGCATGCCCACTGAGAGGGCTCTCAGTGCCGCCTCTGGCACACGTGCCATAGGTTCACCACCACTGGTCTAGGCTTTCAAGGGTCTCTGTGGTCCTGAGGAATAATTGATATGACTTCTGGGATTAATTTAAATAAGAGAGGATTTATTGAAAGGGGGACAAAATAAGAGGTTCGTTATTATGTAACTGGTTGGGAATAAGGTTCCTGTAAATGAGCTTGTCAACTGTATCACTTTAATACACATATACTGATCCTTCTCGGATTCCACACAGATTCTTTCACCTCTCTCACTGACTGAATTTCCACTGAACAACTTCAACTGCTTTTTTCAACTGTCTCTCCTAACTCACTTTCATACAACTTTCATAACTGACTGACACTCACACAGATCCGCTTCAAAAACTCCTCCCACACTCTCTCATCCTCCAATCACAGCACACTTGTCTCTCTCAATCACTCTACTCTGCATTCACTGTACTCCAACCCAACATTTAAAGACACACACACACTCTTAAACCAAGGAATCGTTACAGGGTCCCACCTTGCTCCTGGAGCCTCTGGTGGTGGCTGTGGCCAAAAGTGCCTTTCATCAGCTTAAGCAGGTAGACCAGATGTGCACATTCCGAGAAAAAAATTACTTAGCTACCGTGGTATTTTTCTTGGTCATCTCCCGGCTGAACTACTCTTAACATGCCTGCATGAGATAGCCTTTGAAGATTGCCCAGACATTAAAACGAGCTCAAAAGATCAGGCCAGCTATTTCAGTACTGAACTGAGGCAAAGAGAGCATTCTATACCTGTGCTGGAAGCCACAAATACAAATAAAGCCCTAACTTTGACCGGGACCATTTACTTAAGGGAGCTCCCATTTCCACCTTCCCTGTGCACTGAAATATACTTCCAACCCCCCCCCCCCCCCCCAAATGTCAAGTGGGAGCCTGGCAAGTACAAGCCGCAGCATTAGCGGTCAGACTCCTCCTCCCACGGAGGGGCAGTTTACAGGTTACAAAGCCAAAAACACTCCTCTATACATCACACCAATACCTTAAGAACAGGGCACGGCTTGGGCCAAAGTGACGAGAGAGGAGGTCCTATGACTGATGGAGAAATTAAAAACTGACAGATCACCAGGCCTAGATGGTATACATAATCTCTAACTCGAACGTGAATTTGCAGATCTCTGGACAAAGATATGCAATCTATCATTTAAATCTGCCTTTAGCCCTAAGGACTGGAAGGTAGCTAATGTAAACCCCCATCTTTAAAAAAGGTTCCAGACAAGATTCGAAAAATTACAGGCTGGCCAGTCTTATGTCAATAGCAGGTAAGTTGGCGGAATCCATTATTAAAGATAGAATTAGTAGGCATATTGATGAACAAAAGCTACTGAGGCAGACTCAGCATGGGTTCTGTAAGGGAAGATCTTGTCTCACTAACCTGTATGAGCTTTTCCAGGGGGAAAGCAATCACGTGGACAAGGGGGACCCAGGAGATGTTGTTTAGCTAGATATCCAGAAAGCTTTTGATAAAAGTTCCTCATCAAAGGCTCCTAAGTAAACTCAGTAGTCATGGGATACATGGACAAGTCCTCTTATGAATTGAAAACTGGTTAATTAACAGGAAACAGAGAGTAAGTATAAATGGGCAGTTTTCACAGTGGGGTACCACAGGGATCAGTACTGGGTCTGGTGCTTTTTAACTTGTTCATTAATGATTTGGAGTTGGAAGTAAGCAGTGAAGTGGCTAAGTCTGCGGATGACACTACATTGTTCAGGGTGGTGAGAAACAAGGACGACTGTGGGGTGGTCCAGAAGGATCTACTGAGGCTGGGCGAGTGGGTGACAACATGGCAAATGGGGTTCAATGTGGCCAAGTGCAAAGTGATGCACATTGGAGCCAAAAATACACGTTGATGGGGTCTGAACTGGCAGAGACTGACCTGGAGAGCTATCTTGGAGTCATGGTAGATAACTCACTGAAAATGCCGACCCAGTATGCGATGGCAATAAAAAAGGCAAATGCTAGGGAACATCGTATAAACTGATGGTGCGGCCTCATTTGGAATACTGTGTACAGTTCTGGTCAAAGCACCTCAAAAAAGATATTATAGCATTAGAAAAGGTGCAGAAAGGGGCAACTAAAATTATTAAGGGGATAGAACACTTTTCCTATGAAGAAAGGTTACAGAGGTTAGGGCTCTTTAGCTTGGAGAAACAACGACTGAGGGGTGACATGAAAAAGGTTTATAAAATTATGCATGGGATAGAGTAGATAGAGAAAGGAAGTCCTTTTCTCCCTTTCTCACAATATAAGAACTCATGGGCACTCAATTACATTAATGAGCAGTAAGCTTAGAACGGATAAAAGGAACTATTTCTTCACCTCACCCAAAGTGTAATTTAACACGTGGAATTCACTGCCGCAGGAGGTGGTGGTGGCAGCTACAAGCATGGATGGCTTCAAGAGGGGATTAGATAAATATATGGAGCAGAGGTCCATCAGTGGCTATTGGGAAAGATGGAAAGAAGGGGCCGCAGTGGCTTAGAGGTTAAGACGCTGAGCTCTGACCAGAAGGTCTGTAGTTCGGCAGTTCAAGACCCTAGTGCCGCTCAACGGAGTGAGCTCCCGTCTCTGGCCCCAGCTCCTGCCAACCTAGCAGTTCGAAAGCAAGAAATTGCAAGTAGATAAACAGGTACCCGCTTTGGTGGGAAGGTAACAGCGTTCCGAGCACCTCGGCATTTAGTCATGTCGGCCACATGACCACGGAAATGTCTTCGGACAGCGCTGGCTCTTCAGCTTGGAAATGGAGAAGAGCACCGCCCCCTAGAGTCGGATTCAACTAGCTTTCGAGCAAGGGAAACCTTTACCTTTACATAGATGGAACACTCTGTCTGGGGCAGTGATGGTCTGCATTCTTGGTGCTTGGGGGGGCAACAGCGGAAGGGCTTTTGGAGGTCTGGACCTGCTGGTGGATCTCCTGATGGCACCTGAGTTTTGGCCACTGTGTGACACAGAGTCTTGGACTGGATGGGCCACTGGTCTGATCCAACATGGCTTCTCTTATGTTCCTATGTTCTTAAAGTGGACCAGTTTTCAAGGTGCAGGTCATAGCAGCTGGCTGGCTACTACCCACTCCTCGCCCTGGAAAGATGCATGACTCAGAACAATGGGTCACCCACGCACTCAGGGATAATCCCTTCAGCACCCAAGCCTCCCCTTCACTCATTACCCTTGCTTAAGTAGCAATTAATCAATGCTTAAGTCTATTAACCTTCCACATCACACTTCCCGTCCAGTGCTTATAGGGCCATTAAACCTCTCCCACCACTTTGTCTACCTCTGGTAGAATCATCAGCTCATTGTCCTCTGCTGGTGAGTCAAACTACGTCAGGATACGTTTTGCCCTATAAATATGTCACCCTGCTGCCCCAGCAGAGAGAGTGTGTGTGTGTTCTTGGATCCCCCTCTGCTTCCACAGACCTTTTCAAAGATTCATAATTATCACCTTCCCCTACAACACCTTCCTCTTTCCTCTCTGATTCTTCCTAGTTAGCTCTTGTGTTTGCTGTGTGCATCCTTGCTTTATTTTGTTTTCAATAAAAACCCTTCCCATAAATAACAGACTGCTTTTTTCCGAGAGTTCTCATAGGGACAAATCCCCGTATACATAGGTGGTCTCAGTTACCCGCCTCTCTCTCTGTCTCCAAGCTAATTCCCCCAAGCTAAGTGAAGACGGCCTATTTTGGGGGACAGCAGGGCTCTCTCAGCAAGGGTGCTCCACCGTGGGAATTCTCCCCCCAGGCAAGCCCACCAGGCCTGTTCTCTTCTCCCCTTTCAAAAGATAGTTAACATTTTTATTTCACTTAGAAAGAAAGGCTCCGATTCTTAACTGATTTGGTGGTTATTTTTCAGCTGCTGCTACGTTTATAGTTTTGTATGAGTTGCAATAACCAACCTAACTGGGCAGCTTTTGCATTGAACTTAATGGGTTTTTTTCCTGCTTTGTAAGTCATTGTCTGGGTAGGAGAACGCCTGAATACCTGAGATTGAAAAGTTTCTTCCAGCTCAATCTGTCAAAAGGAACAAACCACCTGTGGGACACCGGCAAAGGAAAAGATGTTCAGAGGGAAATTCTCAGAGCACAATACACCCAATCAGTGTTCCCTCTAAGCTCAGTTAGCGTGAGCTAGCTCACAGTTTTGTAGCCTCTGGCTCACACATTTTTGTCTTCGCTCAGGAAGGATGGCTCCAGAGCAAGCTAACTGATGCAGCAGCTAAATCGCTCACTCGCAACTTTAATGCCAGTAGCTCACAAAGTAGAAGTTTTGCTCACAGGACTCCACAGCTTAGAGGGAACATTGCACCCAACATGCTGGAAACAAGCAGCACACGGCATAGGAATAGCACCTCATTTCAGTGACAATACACAATCAAACTTTAATACAAACCACCATCTGATTTCTGCTACGCTCCTTTACCTTTGTTTTAGGGACCACTCCCAGTCCCAGTTTGCTGTCCACAAGACAGGCACCGGCTTCAGAGAGGTATCCCTGGTTAGGAACGAGGCAGCCCCTGCCAAAACAGCAAGGGCAGCAGATCTTGTGGAAGTATTTGGTCCATTTTGGATTCAGGTGACCATAAGGCTCTTCGGATTTTGGTTTAAACACTCCGATTGCTTTCTAAGAGGCAAAAAAGTAAAGGAGTTACAAGCTGCTCATATTTCTTACGGTTTTCATTCTTTAAAGCAGTCATAAAAGCATATCTTTGTCTGGTGTTGTTTAGGGATGACTGTAGACTTTGACAGGGTTCAATAACGACACCACACACAAAGATTTCTTGAAGCTTACTGATCAGCTCTGTCTCTCTCTCTGTACCAAGCTCCCTGTTCATCTGACAGGCTGTGTCACAGCAGCATTTTACTAGAATCAAGCAGCTCACACATTGCACAGTGAAAAACGTTACAGTTAGAGCCTCTATGCTAAAATCACACTATGTTCTTCTCACAGGCAAGATTATCTTTGAATGTTGCAAAGCTTTTGCCTTCAGTAATTCATTGTGCTCTAGTTCAACAGTCTCATGCAAACTCAGAAAACCTTGTTTTCCTGCTTTGCCAATCTCCCGTTGCCAATTTCCCTGTGAGAACTTGAGAACTCGTCCTGGGCTTGCCTCACGGGATTTGTTCGCATATCCCACAGATGACGTGGCTCCTGAGCATTTCCTGAGCATCCACCCCACTAGATATTGCCAAGAGCATCAGCCACAGTGCTACGCCTACTGGGATCTCACTAGCACTGTGTGATGCAACTAAGTGCCACAAAAATTAGTGAAAGCGCAACCAGGCATTGGGCACCTAGTGTCTCCCCCCAAAGCCACCGCACAGCCAACCCCTTTTTTCTCCTTGCTGGACTTCAAAGTACAGCAGAGGAGAAAAACACACCTTATGGACAGACTACAAAGTACATTGTAAAGAAATGTCAGAACTAAACAAAAAGAAACTCTTACAAATTGAACACCAACCAGTCTACACATTTGCAAATCATCACCTGAAAACTTTCTCTCTCAAAAACAGTGAGCACAGAATGAATGCATTTACTAGAACAAAGTCAGGCCTGGTTCATTACTCCGCACTGGTGGAATGAGCTCCTGGATGACATCAGGGCCCTGTGGGACCTTTTACATTCAGCAGGGCGTGCAAGACAGAGCTCTTCCACCAGGCCTTTGAGTAGGGGGCAGCCGTAATAAATCAAGACCCTCACCTAGGCTTGCCAAGTCCCCCCGGGGGCGGGGAAACCCCCACCCCAGAGGCCCATTCCACCGCCACCGACGGATCAGGCCCCGGGGGAACCCCACCCCCAAAGCACTCGACGTGCACGTCACCCGGAAGTGACATGACCACGCTGGGGGCGGGGCCACGGTCATCCGAGGGAAAACTCTATGGCACTGGCGTGGTGACGGGGTTCAGCGCGCGCACTCCCGGAGCAGCGCTGGGGTCCCCTGCTCCAGCACCGATCCGACTTGGGAACCCTACCCTCACTCCCAATTATCATCAACATGTCAATGTGAGATTCAAATTACCATCATCATTAACATGTCAATGTTAGACGCTGCTACTGCCCGCCATCGGCCACGAACAGCACTAGCACTTTACATAGTTGTTTTATAATTGTATCGTTATGGTTTTATCTAACTTTGTGTTTTAGTGTTCTAAAATGTTTTATGTAAGCCGGCCTGAGCCTGCCTTGGCCGGGAGGGCGGGATACAAGTCAAATAAATAAATAGAGATGTTGCAATTTATCTACTCCATTAATACCCCACATTTCTCCCCAGTGGGGACCCAAAGCAGTTTGCATCATTCGCCTCTCCTCTTTTTTATCCTCATGACAACCCTGCGGGGAAGATTAGTGTGACTGCGTCACCCAGCAAGCTTCCATAGCAGAGTAGGGATACAAAGCTGGGTCTCCCAGGTCCTAGTCCGACACACTGACCACTACCCTTTCATCACAACCACACTCCGCATTAGAAAAAAACCCACACAGAGGATATGGCACAAAGAAAATGGTATATCCCAGGCTCTCCAGAATCTGCTCAAAGCAGCAAACAAATTCATACACTGGCACCTGTCAGCTAAGCTGCCATGAGTGTGGAGAGGCTTTCTAATTGCTTTGCATTCCTTCCCATGCGCTTAACTGCTTCAAAGCTGCAACGCTTATCTTTAAAGTGTTACTGGAGGAGACTGTGGTGTCTATCTTCCATGGGAGCTTCTTCGTTCCCAGCTTCGCAACCGTTAGAGAGTCTTGCAAACTCCCTTGCGCGGGAGTCCACCTAACTGGGTATTGCTAAGGGTATCTTGCCATTCCTAACAGTGTTTGTGTTATTGCATCTATGGCTTTTCAATAAAAGTAAAACCTTCCTGGAAGCGGGTACTTCGTTGTTTTGCAGTGGGTCCTGACAGCACCCTAGGCTAACTGGGATCTCCTTTAAACAAACACTGGTTTTGTTTGAGGACAGGGGACAACTGAATTGCTCCAATGGGAGGCATTTTTCACCCATTACCTCCCTGTGCTGTATTTCTAATGTGACTATGGCACTACAGGAAACACTTTAAATATCTAGACACTTGGTGAGATCAGTTCTTCCTCCGAAATACTTTCATAACTAACACTAGTTTTACTGTCTACGTTGAGATCATGTGTATCCTCTGTAATACTGTATGGGAAGCTAGTATTTGTGACGCTGAAGTCTTCCAATGTTAACACAGAGTAGGTGACAAATTTGAAAGCCTTCACTATAAAATCGCTGTAAGGCAGGGGTGGCCAAACTTGCTCAGTGTAAGAGCCACATAGAATAAACGTCAGATGTTTGAGAGCTGCAAGACATGAATATTACACATGTTTTTATTTGTAAAATATGCATGTTTGCTTTTTCTTAACATTAAATGAGACTGCCAAAAATACAAACAAAAGGGGTAAAAACCGATAATGATAATGATATTTATTTGTCCAATGATATTTATTTGTTTGCTAATGATATTTATTTGTCTAAGAGAGAGAGAGAGAAAGAGAGAGAGGAGGAAAGAAAGAAGGAAAGAAGTGGAAAGAAAGAGAGAGAGAGAGAAATGTAGAAAGCAAATATATGGGAGGGAGGGAGAAAAAGCATGGCTCCCCTTCGCTTCCCCAGCTGCCCTGCCAGGAGCCACACAATATGTGTGAAAGAGTCGCATGTGGCTCCCAAGCCGCAGTTTGGCCACCCCTGCTGTAAGGCACTGCCCACCAACCCGAATCTCACCTGGAATGTGGACACCACAACACAAGGCGGTCAAAAACCCCCACCCCAATTGGCAACGTAGGGATAACACTGGACTGTTTTAAAGGAGTGCTGCAAAGCACCTCTCGGCCTCAGCACTTCCAACTCGCAAAAACAGGATAATGGACACCCCCCCCCCCTAATTCTTTGTGTCAATTGTACATGGATATTTTTAAAAGCTTAACAATTATTTTCACATACAAGACAAGGAGACTCTGAAACAGAATACATTTCTTAGCCATCCCCAAACCAGATAATAAGTCCAGAAGTGTCTGGAATACACTGCCACTGCAACTCTCAGAAAAAAATGGCAAGGCCAAGGGCAACTGGAGCAAAAACCTGCACAAATCTGAACTAGATCTAATCTAAATAAATAATAACAACAACAACACACTTTCCCCACAATCTGAAAGAGACTACACAAAGTTCTCCAATCATTGCTAATTTAGTTGCATTTTCTACTACCATTATCTTCCACTGTGGGCTTATTAAACTGCTGAGAGTCCCGTGTCCTTATATTTGACCTTCTAGGTTCAAAGGCACTCTCTGTGTATAATCAGCAAGTTGCTCCTTTAAGAGTATGTTTGCTCATGAGGAAACCCAAGAATACATGATTAGAAGGCATGACAAACACTGAAGTCAAGAAGGTATGACATTGTAAGCAATCTGGGTACACAACCTCCTTTCAAGTCCCTTGTGCACTAGCCTGAGATTCTCAGAAGAAGGATGTATAACAATATTGTGTTGTTGTGTTTCTTTTATATTTTCATGGATGGCTGAGATAGCCGTTTTGGCCCCTGTACTTCCTCTGGCAAATTTCCAGTTTTCATTTGTTTCTTACACACCTTCTACACACAAATGACAGAAAAACAGGAAAAAGTGTTAATGGCAACATTCCTAGTGTACTTGGATTGTATGGCTGGGGGGAAGAATCGCTGCACTTTTAGCCACAGTGTGGAGAAACTGTAAAAGAAACGTGAATTTCGAAAACAAAACAGAGTTGCAAAGCTGCCAAGTTCAGTCAGATCCCCAGTCATAGGTGAAAAACAAGTATCTTTCTTCAGGTGGGAACAACAGCGCACAGGGAACTTTACACTGGCAACGCTTCTACAATGGGATAATGTTGCTCCTGTTGCCTCTGCTGCACACTGGCAGGGAAATGTGAGGACTGCTGACTTCGTACACAACTAGACAAGGCAAACGCTGATGCTAAAACAAACCAGCCAGTCCCTGAGGTGCCATAAGCCTTTCTGCCTTCTTGCTTCTACGGAGCATTATGCGCCTCTGAGGAGTTCAGAATCCATTAGCCTCTGCAGAGAATGTTCACTTTACTTGCTTAGGTTTGCCTATGAGCAAGAAACATTAATTGCATAAAACCAGCTTAAAGGGCTAAGAAATGCTGAGTCAGTACTTGGACATTCTCGCTTGTACACAGATGACACTGCGCGCCGTGGAACAAATAACATTCTGGCTACATCTTGCTGCTTTGAGGAAACACTGCTTCTATGTCACAGCACGGAATATTGACCCTGGAGCAGTGGATAAGTGCATGGACTCTAATCTGGGAGAACCCGGTCTGATTCCCCACTCCTCCACTTGCAGCTGCTGGAGGGGCAAGCCATCGTTCTTGTCAGAGCTGTTCTTGAAAGAGCTCTCTCAGCCCCACCGACCTCACAGGGTTTTCTGTTGTGGGGAGGGGAAGGGAAAGGAGTTTGTAAGCCGCTCTGAGACTCCAAGTGATGGGTGGGGTACAAATCCAATCTCTTCATCTTCTTCAGTCTAGCCTGCCACAGTGTGTGGCTCCTTCTGCACTGATGTTTTGTTTGTTCAGCTGCAGGGCTATTTTTGGGCAGGAACGCACAGGAACAGAGTTCCAGCTGGCTTCAGAGTTGGCCATGGCCACTACAGCCAAAACCTCTGCATGTGTGGCTAAAGAGGGAAGGCCTGGAGAGCGACACCCCCCCCCAGTGACTCCAAGGTGGGCAGGCCAGGGGGGCCCTGGAAGGATTGGAGGGGGGGGGGCCAGGTGGGGGCCAGGGAAGCCAAGAGAAGGCAGGTTAAACTCCTTCCCTTCCCTTCAAGGGGGGGGGGGGGCCTTGCCCAGGCTCCGTGCAGCCACGGGGCGCCCAGGCAAGCCAAAGGAAGGCATGGGGGTGTGGCCTAATATGCTAATGAGCTGCTCCATCAATGGGTGTGGCCTATTATGCTAATGAGTTCCTGCTGGGCTTTTTCTACCAAAAAAAGCCCTGCAGCTGAGTATCCCACACTTGTCCATAAGTATATTCTCCATGTACTATACTTGGGGCATCCTGTTTCTATGTTTTGGCACGGAGAAACGATTACCCATTTTTAATAGGTGGTGTTCGGCATGTCAGGCTGCACAACACTGAAAGTTTCGGGGGGGGGGCTAGGGCAGGGCTGCTTGTTTCTGAGTCAATACACGTATTTCTGATACGCAGCCTTGCGCTGGGACAAAAGAGGGTCCCAGCCCCCATCCCATGGGCAGGATGCTGACTGATCTAAACACTCCCACACTGCTGATGTGCTGCCTCCATGTCATTTCACAAAGCTAGCCTGGCAAGGTCCCTTGTTCTGCAGCAGGGGGCAGGATAACTGGAATCTGTTTATCATTTCAAGCTGGGAGCTGGCAGAGAACATGGTTCTAGTGTAAAGGAATCGCTCCAGAAAGGTACTTTTATAGAGGCAGCAGGACTTAGGTCTGTGCCCCTGTTTATGGCAAGTATTATCTGTTTCTTGTATACATCATGCTGCTATTGCTGCCTATGCTTTAATTCTGTAATTCCATTTCCTGCACTGTTTGACGTATCACATCTGATACTTTTTTCCATTGCAGTGTTTCTAATTTTTGCAATCCCGATCCTATTGTGCTGTATATTAGATACCTTATGCTGTCATGCTACAAGTTAAAGAAAACATCTTTGTACAAGAATTTATTTTGCGGGCATATCAGCTTGCTGCTTCAAATGGAAAGACAGCACTCCCGCTAGTGAGGAATTCTATGTGTCAGTGCTGCAGGTTGCCTTGAAGGTGGATGGTGTGATGGGCAGTCTCTCGTTCCACCCTCCAGTCATCCCAATGGGAGTAGGCGGATACTAAGTGGCGTCAGCCACTGATAGGGTGTGGAAACCCTGGAGGAGGAAAGTTGATAGGAGAGAAGCCTGTCATTGCCCCCGATAGGGTTTGGGGAAACAACAGAGAAACAGGGTAAAGCTACCAGAGTAGTTCAGTTTTCCTTCACCTAGCAAAGGAAAAAAAAACCCAACATCTATAGTATAGGTACATATGGCTCAGGGGACGGTAAAGAAGCAGGAATAGAACACGTGTCCTGTGTTACCTTAGGGAAATAGTGGGCTAGTAATGTGTGAGGGGCAGAAGAAGAGACAAGCTAACCCTGTTCCAGTAGGCTGAGATTCTTTGGCTTAAGGAGGAGTTCCAAATAAGATAATTTTCTCTCTCTCTCTCTCTCTCTCTCACACAGGAACACCCTGCCAGCTCAGTAAAGCTGTGGGTGTGAGAAACTGTAATTGTTTTAAAGCAGAGTTCTGCTGTCCCTGGCTGTAAGAACCAATAGCCTGTTACATTCCTCGTCTTAACCACCAAATCACTAAGCTTTGAGCCCTTGTAAAGAAGAGACAATAAACTTATACTTTTGTGTTGTTTAAGAAAGGTGTCAGTGTGGACCATAGAAGAAGGGGAGGAGGTAAGTGGCAGGATTTATCTCAGATTCCTATTCTAGCTCCCCGGTCTGCTTTTAAAATAGCAGCACATCGTCCAGCAGTTAGCGGTTGAACTTGCCTTCCTGGATACTCGCAACCCCATACCACCACTAGAATCAGCTTGGTCAATTACACTGGAATGTGTAACAGAGTGGGTGGGAAGTGGAGAAGGCACCTGACCATTATAAGTGGGACTCAGCGGAAAGGGAGCGTCCCTTTAGGGAGGACAGATCTTCATAGGGTATAAACCTCTGCAGAAAGGCCTGATTATCCCTCCCCACCCCGCCCACTATTGCTGGTGTGTTATAGACACAGCTAGGAAAGAAGACTTTCACAGGCATTGTCTTTAAGCCTTACATGAGGAAAAAGGGAGTGTTAAGACGACCAAAGGATTCCTTTTGCCTCATCTGCTAGGTGCAACGAGGTTATAAAACTGGTCTGAAATCGTAGGCTGCATTGCAAAATACCACAGTCTTCAATTCTCTCAGGCCACCTGCAAGAACACAAAAGGTCCAAGGCCGTAGGCCACAGGAGTACAATCACCAACTCAACAATATTTTCGAGGGGGGGGGGGAACCTGTTGAGCCTTATTTTACTTTTCGACTACTCTACATTTCTCAAGGTACCCTGGGATGATGCCACGTGGGTCAGACTTCCCTAGAGCCCAGTTAAAAGCAGCCTCATTCTTCTTGTCCACCAAATAATTCATTTTACCTAACGTAAGAATTTTTAGTCAGTGGTTCTTCATACAGGCACTTGAACAGCACTGCCAATACATCTTTGGAACTTTTTTCCCCTACAGGAAGGCTATGTTAAAAAGCAGTCAACAGAATCACACAGAAGCAGTCTTCAGAACTGTATTTCCCACAACAGGAAGAACAGAACTACTCTGTGGGTCTATCAACACGTAAGAAAAATATGTCATTCTAGGTTTAAAGTACTACTGCTTTCTAAACTGACGATTCTGATCATGTCCAAGGGAGGAGCCTTGCCAAGTCAAGAAATGAATGTTTCATACCATTGCCTTCATGAGTAATTTTGATTGAGCAACTAAGAATTAGATAGTGTTCTCTGTTAATACCAAGAAATTTAATTAATGGAAGGTCACCTGCATTTCAATCAGATAAGAACGTATTGTACAACCATATGAATTTGTTACACCATATACTACAAGGCCAGCCAACTGAAAAGGCAAGCTGCCTAACCACATTTTCCAGCAGGGTTTCAAAGTAAATGAAGAGAAGGTTTCTTGAAAATTCACTGTGAATATCAGGAAGCAACTAACCCGACATTGTACTGTAGAAACAAAAATGTAGACTTGGGTATTCTCATTGGTCTGATCACATCAATCAGTGCTTGTGCCGGTTCTACCGTCTGCAAGACCTCTTACAAACATTATGAAAAATAAATTGGGTTTTCTTTATATTTTTTATCCTTAAATTTAAATAAATCTATTTGAAATAAATTTAAATAAATCTACGTTATCTTTAAAAAGAATGACCTTTTCGGAAACTACAGAATGAACACGCTTATCATGATAAGTACTTGACCAAGCCAAACCTTGGGCAAGGTTATTCCATTATTTATTACATAACCAAGCATACAAATATCCAGGCAATGAATGAAGTACAAACCTTCTTTGCATCTTTAACAAAGTAGCTCCCACTTGATCCCTGGGAGATTCTGTCCGGAAAGACTCCGCATTCTATGGCTTGTTCAGCTCGCTGCACAATTTCTGCAAATTCAGGATCATCCAAAAATAAATTCATCTCTGCAGTACTTCCAACATTTCCTGCATGTAATAACACAAGGCACTTTCGGTTAGGATTGTCAACTGATTGAAAAATCATTTAAATTAAAATTTAATTGATTTGCCACCTGCTACTTGACTGACCAATGAACAGTTCTTCAAATTGCCTAAAGTTCCATATAGGAACCTTTTTGAGATACTGAAAGAAATTTGAGTTAATGTACCGTCCAATAAAGAAAAGCTGTTGGAAAGAAAAAACATCCATAATACCTCTCTATTGCAGTATTGTACCAGGACCAGTATGATTCAAAATAAAGCATGCACTTCACTTGCAGCCAAACTTGAAATGCCGCCATTAAAACTGGTGGCACAAACCAGGCACAACAATTCAACTGAAAAACTGTTTACACTGATAAGCGCCTGGCTTTACTGGATGGCACAAAAGCATCCACTTATATACCCTCTTTGCTATCCACCCATTTTAGTTATATGCAGAGACAAAGTATTACATACTTTTTTATCTGCATAGTTTACATGTAGTTCTCTTCAAAATTTTGCTTTGGCTTGCTTTGTGGGAAACAGAAACCTGAATCTTCTATACAACCTACCAAGGCAAATACTTATAAAGTAGCTTGAGACATGCATTACCACCCTGACTATTCTGGAGTAAGGGTTGAAATACTAATTTGGTAATCACAAAAATAAGTAAGGAGACTATCAGTAACAGACACTAGCTTTTGTGGCTTTATAAAGTATTAGAAATTATCTTCAAGGAGGACAGATGGGTTAGCTACTATTAATACAGATAATGACATGTCCTTGTAGGTCCCCCTACTTGTTAACTTTATACTACCTGTAAATATGTGTCATGTTAACTTTTATGTTTCAGTTCCTGTTTTTTTTAATTTCTGGTTGGTTCTACAACCCAAATCCTACTTAACTGTTTACTGAATCTCCTGTCCTCTTGATTGTACTGACTCACTCCATGTAATTTGCCTTGAGTCCCAGTGAGGAAAGCAGACAAACCAACCCCCCCCCTAAATAAATGAAGCTTCTATGTACAAAAGCAGTGTATGCCTTTGATTACTAGGTACTGAGAAGAAACCATAGAGCAGGGGTGTCGAACTCATTTGTTATGGAGGGCTGGATTTGACATATATTGGATTTTGTCGAGCTGGGCCACGTGTGTCATTAAATGTAATGCCAGGTAGCGGAGATGTAAACTTGATAAAGGACACAAACACAAAGGTTTTTTTTTTACTTAAAATAAAAACATGCCTGAAACATAAGCATTCTTGCAATGTTTTGTTCATTTAACAGTCTCTGATAACTGACACTTCTTGCTCCGAATTATTGCATCAAAATGTCTGTGCTGTAGCACTCTGGGAGGGTGAGGAGCCTCAGTCCAGTGCAGGGAGCAGAAGCTTGCCTATCTATCTCTCGTGAGTGATTGAGAGAGTCTGGGAATGCAAGCCATGATGCAACAGCAGCAGCAGCAGAATTGGAGAAAGAAGCAGGAGACAGCCAGTCCCCTGCGGTCCTGATAGAAGCCCTCTGGGGGCCTGATACGGCCCCCGGGCCGCATGTTTGACACCCCTGCTCTAAAGCCACCATTTTATTCCTGCTCTGCATGTGAGCACCCAGTGGTATCAAGCTGGCCATTGTTGGAATATGGTTGTAACAACATTTACCTACCTTACAGAGTGAGTTGCCAAAATTATTAAGGCTTGGAACAGAAAGGCAATACCATTTCAGGCTGTAGATGGATAACAGTATTACTGAATGCTCCCCTAGATTTTTTTTAAATCCCCTACACGTATAAAAACACCCTTGTAAATTTAGGCGTATGCTGAGCTAGATGTGTGGTTGTCAGGAGTTTTGACATGCAGAAGCATTCAAGAAATTAAAGATTTCTTGTTCTGGGAAGAAGGAGCTACAGCAGACACAAATTCTAAACAACTGCCATTCCAAGCCCACCAATAGAATTCAGATGCAACTCTGTTGGTGGGTTTGGAATGACAGTTGCTTAGATGCATGTATGTTCTACAAAGAGAAGTCCCTAGCTCCTCCCCCCCTTGGTTCCTTGGCCACTTTCTCCTAGGGGCTAAAAGCACGCACCATCAAAGCAGCAGGTGCTTCATATGGGAAACGGGGGAGGGGAGAAATGAGACAACATTGCACATTAAAGCACTGCAAGCTGCTCTAACCCTAACCTGGCATAAGATGGTGCAAATGAAACATTTGGAGAGCTTAGAAAGGTACTAAACAAGGTGATGAGATAAAATGGGCTAACAATCCATGTATGGAGCCTTTGGAAGGTGTGTCAGTGTGATGAACCTCAAGGTGGCTGAAAGGTGGATGAGCAAGGGGTAAACCCAGCAAGAAAAGTTACATGGGCAACAGCGCAAGGTGGAGGAGTCCCAAGGTGAGAGAATGGACTGTGCACTGAAGTTTGTCATCATTATTCGGCCCAGACTAAGACGACCTTTGGATCCAACCACGCCAGCGGAAACTGTGTTTGTGGTTGTACACAGCTGTTTTAATTGTACTACTTTGTTGTCTTAAATACTGTCATACTTACTAATATATGTTTTTATCTATTTATGATGTGATGCACTCAGAGGCCATTCGCAAATCCGAATAAATAAAAAAATAAGTATCTCAGACTGCAAGAAGGTAGTGGTATGTGCATGGAATATTCTCGGATGTGCAACCTTCTCTCCCCCCCCCCGCCCCCATAAACGGAAAAGTCATGCAGCAGAGAGAAAAGGCCCAGCCTGGCTGGACCATCAGAATATAACTTTGGAGCTATGGGCAAAAATCCCCACACTGCCATGAAGCCTGCTGGGTGCCCACAGACCAGTCCCTCTCTCCATAAGCCTTACTACCTCCCCACAAGTTTAACTGAAGAACAAAAATGGGAAAGATAACTTTATTCCCTTAAATTTTCCTTCACCCCTCCTCCAACGAGCTCAAGTTGAGGTCCCTCATTCCCCTCCCTCGTCCATTATACCCTCACCAACAGCCCCATGAGGCAGGCAAGACTGAGAGTATGTCAGGTTCTCCATCAAATCACGCTCCACGCACACTTTCTTGAAAGTTTTATTAGAAGATATGATATGTTCAGGCTTCAAGGTCTTTGTCAGAACTGGGGTGCCAAGGCGGGAAAGCCACGTAGAATTACAATCCCACATTCCATTCATACACGTCAGCAATACTACAAAGACCATGAAAGATATACAGTCTACAACTAGCCAAACACAGACTCTTCTCCAAGAACACTTCCCGTGTGAAAGATGTCTCTGGGGCGGCATGGAAGACCTTCCTAAGCTCCTATGGGCACTCACTCCCCCCCTCAGGAATGGAATGGCAGGCGAGGGCAAGGGATAAGGGTGCCGGAATAACAAAGGATTGGAAGCAGGGAGCTAAATGATACAGAAAGCATTAGGGTAGAAATGCAACAGGTTCAGTTGGTCAAATGCTGGTCAAATGCCCGAGCCTGACAGAGTGACCGGTCCACGGTCATCCAGTGAGCTTCATGGCAGAGGGAGCGACAAAGCCAGGTCTTCCGGATTTATAGTCCAACATTCCAGCAAAGCCGAGTCACTCCTTTGTGATGCATTACATTTTTATTTATATATGCTTAAAAACAATTGTCATGCTTAAACACTTACAGGTCCCTACGAGCAGTATGAGCCTCTCACTGCAGCACTTTGCCACCTGGACCTGCTCCACTGGTAACGCACCTTGGAGACTCGAACCAAGGTCCCACAGACCCTAGCCCTACGACCGCATGGTGTCAGTTCTCACGGGTGCACTATGTAAAGGTGAGAATATTGGCTCAAGATCTGGGGGTTCCAGACTCAAATCCATGGAAGTTCACCGAGCATCCCTGGGCCAAGCTATTTACAGCCATGTTGGCCAACAGTAAAATCGAAAAGGCCAAAAACCAATACCATCCAAGAAAAATATTTAGTAAGGCCAGCCCAAGGACGTTCCAAATTTCTTTTTAAAAAGGGAAATGCAAGTTTTAAGCCGATTTCTCAGGTCACGGCTTTAAGAAACTCTCCTCAAGCCAGCATACTGAGGATTTGCTGACAGGCAAAGAAGAACCAGGTGTTGAGATGCTCCAGGCCAGGGGCCAGTCAAGGTCTCTCTTGCTCTCTCAGGCTCACCTACCTCACATCATCAGAGTGTGAGTCTAGGGGCTGCTTTAAGACCAGCCAAGTTTAATTCTGGGTATAAGCTTTCGTCTGCATGCACAGGTCTTCTGGTACCTGAAGAAGTGTGTGGGCAGGTGAAAGCTGATACCCAGAATTAAACTTGGCTGGTCTTAAAGGAGCCGCTGGACTCACACTTTGTTCTGTTGCTTCAGACCAACACGGCGACCCACCTAAATTAGGGTTGTCAGGTCCTTACCAGGTGTGTGTGTGGGGGGGGGGGTTCGGTTCCCTTCCAGCTGATCTCCAGGATCTATGGTCACCATAGAGTTTGTAGCCAAATGCTAGAGCGCCTCCCGTGAAATATGCCTGGCATGATGATGTCACCTCCAGGTGATGTCATCACATCAGGCACGTCAGGGGGGCTCTTCTGGGGTGGGGCTCCCTTGCATGCCAGCTGACCAGTGGCGGATTGGGGCCTCTGAAAGCTGGGGGGGCCCCCACCAGGGGGATGGCAACCCTAAACTGAATCTACCTCACATGGTTGTGGTTGCAAGGATCAAATGGCGAAGGAGGAAAAAGCACACCGCAGGGTCAATTTCAGTCTCCATCAGGGAGAAAAGCAGGAGTAAAATTCCCCTCATAATGAATCTAGTTTGCTCATACACCACCTGTCTCCTCTAGGGGTGGCTATAGAAGAAGAGGAGTTTGGATTCATACCCCGCCCTTCACTACGCAAAGGAGTCTCAGAGCGGCTTACAAACTCCTTTCCCTCCCCCTCCCCACAGCAGACACCCTGGGAGGTAGGTGGGGCTGAGAGAGCTCTTTGGAGAACTGTCCATGAGAGAACAGCTCTTATCAGAACTACGGCTTGCCCAAGGTCATCCAGCCAGGTGCAAGCGGAGGAGTGGGGGAATCAAGCCTAGTCCTCCCCGATTAGAGCCCGCCCACATGAGCACGACACCAAGCTGGCCCTATAACCGCCTCTCTTCCATTTCAGCCTCACGACAGCCCTGCGAGGTAGGCCAAATGCAGAAAAACCGACACTGTGCCTAATTCTGAAGACGCCAGCCCTGAGACACGAAAGCTCCTGCCCCATCTCTTGCTAAGTCTTTAAGGCACGACTGGACCGTGCCTCATTTCCGACTGCGGGGCAGGGCTGGCTGAGAGTGGGCAGCTGGTCCCAAGTCCGAACCCAGCCTCAGAAGCGCACTGGTGCGCAGGCGCGGGCCGCCAGAGGGCCCCCCCCTCACCTGTCGCGCGCCGCCCCCCGCGCTTCCTGCGGCTCCGTCTGGGAGGCGCCTCCGCCGCGGCGCCCAGCAGCGGCTCCTCTTCCTCGTCGTCCCCGCCTTCGTCTTCGCTGTCCGAAGCGGGCGCCACGCCGCCGCCCTCCCCTCCGCCGAGGCTCACCCTGACGGCGCCTCCCGGCGTCGCCCTCACACAGACGGCCACCGGCGGCGGCGGCGGCGGCTCTTCCTCCGTGTCCAGCACCAGCAGCTCCTCGTCGGGCTCCTCCTCAGGGCCGGCCTCCGCCATGGAGGAGGGGGGGGCGGCGCGCGGCGGGGCTTCCCAGCGCCCCGCCGACCACGACCCACCGCCGGCTGAGGCGCCCAGAGACGCACCGCGCATGCGTGCGGCTGAAGCGAGGGAGGAGGTGGCAGGGAGGGCGGTGCCTCTTTACCTGCCTTAAAGGGCCAACCGCGCGCCTGCGCACGTCACGGCCGGGGGAGGAGAGTCCCGCGGCACCTTTCAGACCAAGGCGGTTTAATTCTGGGTTTAAACTTTCTGCTTGTGTTGTGGGATTGAACTGCTCCTGAGTCATCGTTTCCTCTAAGATGAGTTCGTGTGAGCTGGCTCAACAGGTTTTCTGACTCCGGATCACACATTTTTATTATTTATATTTTATTAATTTGATTTGTACCCCGCCCTCCCCGCGAGCGGGCTCAGGGCAGCTCACATATTTGGTCTGTAAATGACCATTCATTCACATAAAAAGAGTTTAAAATTCAATTACACTAAAAAAAAGAGTCTCATAAAGTGCTAGTGCTGAAACATTCGGTACATAAGATGGCATGCTGGAATACCATACCGCCAATGTTCCCTCTAAGCTGTGGAGTCTTGTGAGCAAAAATTCCTCCTTGTGAGCTGTTGGCATTCAAGTTGTGAGCAAGCCACTTGGCTGCTGCATACATTAGTTTGCTCTGGAGCCATCCTTCCTGAGCTAAGACAAAAATGTGTGAGCTGGAGGCTAAAAAACTGTGAGTTAGCTCTCACTAACTCAGCTTAGAGGGAACACTGCATACTGCCAGGCAGTTTGCCACTCAATGGTCTTCCTGAGCGCAGTGGTAAAAGCCAGATGTTGACACTACAGGCTGGCTCCTTGGTAGTAGTGGGTCGGCTCCTAGTTGAAAGCCTGGTGGAAGAGCTCCGTCTTGCAGGCCCTGCGGAACTGCACAAAATCCCGCAAGGCCCTGATCTCCTCCGGGAGCTCATTCCACCAGGATGGAACCGCCACTGAAAAAGCCCTGGCCCTGGTGGTGGCATCCTTGGAGCCCAGCAGGGCCAGTCGGTTCTGGAACCCCGACCTCAGTGCTCTCTGGGGCATATGTGGGGAAAGGTATGTCGGACCCTGGCCATATAGGCGCTCAGGAAGGATGGCTCCAGAGCAGTGTTCCTTCTAAGCTGAGTTAGTGTGAGCTGGCTCAACACATTTTTGTCTTGGCTCGGGGAGGATGGCTGCAGAGCAATCTAATTTATGCAGTAGCCAAATCGCTGGCTCGCAACTTTAATGCCAGTGGCTCACAAAGTAGAATTTTTGTTCATAGGACTCCACAGCCTAGAAGGAGCATCGCTCGTACTGCTGGACTGAGCCATTTCTTACAATATGGGAACCCACATCCCATATCAGGATGTTACGCAATTTTAAAAACACCATCTTGTACTGTTTTTTATGGTTTTAGTATGATGTTTTCCTATTTTAAAGCTGGTATTGTTTATATTTTATGCTGTAACCTGCCCTGAGCCCGCTTGCGGGGAGGGTGGGATAGAAATCAAATCGAGATGTGTGCCTGCAGACAAAAACTTATACCCAGAATTAAACTTTTCTTGGTCTTAAAGGCGCATCTGGACTCAAACTTTGTTTTGTTGCTTAAGACCAACACAGCAACCCACCTGAAACTATACTCATGGCGAGGGTCACCGTATTCTGAAAAGAAAAAAAGAAGATATAATTCCCGACTGACTACTTCAAACAAGTGGTCACTGGGACAGATCTCATTTTAAATGTCCTTGTTGTGATAATTGCTACTCACTAGGAATATTCCTAACCTTTGAACCCCAAAAGAGGACTTTTTCATCAGTTTTTTTTTAAAGGCCCCAAAAGAGGACGGATGCCCCCCCCCAAAAAAGATAACAGGTCTAAAAAGAGGACATCTGGTCGCCCTACTCGGCAAAGTGTGGGGGCAGAAAGGCACAAGATGGCAACCCGTGTAGATGCTTAACTTGAGTTCTGCGATTTTATCTTTATCGAGCGTTGATAGGCTTGTCTTAATGAGCTCTTCTTAGTTCTGGTTTGCAGTTTATCGGTCTGTTGTTAGACACAGCTCAGGTTGTTTGGGATTGCTGTGAGGCATTTTAAACACTCCACCCTTAATCGCCTTTGCTACTTTTCTTTGGAAGTTACTTTGGAGATGTCAGCTAGCTGCCATGTTTTGCTTGTTTCCCTTCCTGTTCCCGCTTGCTTTGCAGCTCAACCACTTGCAGTAAACATTGCTCGGGAGACCGTGGGAGCCAGCCCTGCCAGACGGCATTATCTGTCTGGCCTTGTGAAGAAGGGAGGGCTTGCGTTCCACCTCAGGTGTGAATCTTACTGCTCTCATGAGACCCTGCGAGTCTCCCGCTCATTATGTAATCTGCCGGGAGAATTCCCCCGAGCGCTAGGAGTTCATTTGCTTAGCTAATTGCCTCGTCCTGCTATATTTAGGGATGTTTCCGCCCCATCGTCATTCCTAACAATAATCCTGTGGATATGGTACCAGTTTTGTACTCTAATAAAGCATAACGCTTCTTAGGAAACGTGTGTGGAGAGTTACTTGCTGTGGAATCTGACAGAAAGCCTTCACTGAATGGGAGTGTCAGGTCACAGCAAGGCTAATTGAGAGGGAGAACTTTTGCTGCTTCTAAGATAAGAAAACTCAGCTGAAGTGTTGTTTTTGAAACCCACCAGGAAAAGGATGGAAAAGAAAGAGATCAAACTGAACAGATGAAAGGTAAAGAGGTTTTCCTGCAAGTTGTCCTGCAAGCCTCTGGGTGATTTAATATCACTCTAAGTTGCTATTTTGGGATACTCAGCAGAGGATTGTTATAACTGGGAAAAAGGTTGGCACAGTTTGAAAGGTTTCCCCTTTGTGCAAAAGTAAATATTTAGGTTTGGAACTGGAATAGACAGGGGTCTGAAAAGGACATACCCATTCGAGGACGAGAGGAAATCTCCATCGTGTACTATAAACAGACGAGGCTAGAGTACCTTTTTCCCCCCATTTAATCAACAGAACAGATTTGATTGTTTGGTTGTGGATGAGGACAGGGATGTATGTCACTTGGAATCGACTTGGTTTTCCGACAGTGATATAGCAACAACTCATTATATGCACTCACTGTCAGCTCCAGCAGCGCACTGGGAAAACTCTGGAATTAGATTTGCTAGCAAATCAAACACATTTAATAGCGGTGACGCTTCAAAAATATTTGGGAAGCATGAGACGATTATGGACTTTCTGCTGGAGAGTGGAAGGAACTACCTATTTGGAAAAAACTATCTCATCCCCAAGAGACTGGTAGAACTGATGACTTTAAAAGCGAAGGGAAGATTTGGGAGCCATTTTGAAACATAAAAGGAAAAATGTAGCTGCACCTAGTGATTGCATGACAGACACTTTATCATTAACTCATGATTCCAATTGTGTAGAAGAAGAGATTGGATTTATACCCCACTAGGGTTGCCAAATGAATTTTGGCCGGGAGCGGGGGGGGGGGGCTCCCGGCCGGCGTCTAACTCATGCGCGCGCGTCCCAGCGTGCGACATCACTTCTGGGTGACATGCGCGCGGGGCGGAAGTCGGGCCTTGAAAGCGGGGGGCTGGGGGAAATCCGCCCCCCGGGGGGATTTGGGAACCCTATACTTACAAACTCCTTCCCCTCCCCACATCAGACACCCTGTAAGGTAGGTGGGGCTGAGAAAGCTTTTTGAACTGCTCTTTCAAGAACAGGTCTGACAGAACTATGGCTTGCCCAAGGTCATCCAGCACCTGCAAGTGGAGGAGTGGGGAATCAAACCCATTTCTCCCAGATTAGAGTCTGTACACTTAACCACTACACCAAACTGTAGAAGTAAACATCTTTCCATTTCGCGGAGAATATATCAACTGGTCCACTAAACGGTGGCCCAGAAACCACCCGGCCTTTCAGTTTGGTGTAGTGCACGAACTCTAATCTGGGAGAACCGGGTTTGATTCCCCACTCCTCCATTCGCAGCTGCTGGATGACCTTGGGCAAGCCGTAGTTCTGATAAGAGGTGTCCTTGAAAGAGCACTACTCAAGAAAGCTCTCTTAGCCCCACCTATCTCACAGGGTGTCTGTTGTGGGGAGGGGAAGGGAAAAGAGTTTGTCAACCGCTCTGAGACACCTTTGGGTCGTGATGGGCGGGGTATGAATCCAATCTCCTCCTCCTCCTCTTCTTCTTCTTCCTTAAAACTATTCTTTCTGCTATTGCTCTTTTAAAGGTGGAACAGCTACCAAACCCAGTACATCATGAGCGATTTCTACTATTCTTCCGCTCTAATCAAATACCAGCTCATATGTATGTGCATGCCTCCGATTATGCTGAGTTTGGGATTAGGCTCCAGAGGCATTTCAGGAACTCTTTAATTCAAAAATTAGTCCCTCAAACTCTCTTTAAAGGTAAAGGTTCCCTTGCTCGAAAGCCAGTCGAATCCGACTCTAGGGTTGCGGTGCTCATCTCCGTTTCAAAGCCGAAGAGCCAGCGCTGTCCGAAGACGTTTCCGTGGTCATGTGGCCGGCATGACTAAACGCCAAGGCGCACAGAACGCTGTTACCTTTCCACCAAAGTGGTACCTATTTATCTACTTGCAATTTCTTGCTTTCGAACTGCTAGGTTGGCAGGAGCTGGAACTAGAGACGGGAGCTCACTCCGTCATGCGGCACACGCGGGTCTCAAACTGCTGAACTACCGACCTTCCACAGCCTTCAGTTCAGCATCTTAACCACTTGAGCCACCGCAGCTCCTCAAACTCTCTTTACAGAAGACTTAATGTCAGACAAGCCTGAAACAAACCAAACTCCAGTGGAGGCAGCTGATCCTTCAGACTTGTTGATCCCGTTTGTTCAGCCGGTACTATCAAAGTTACCCTCGCCTATGAAGGCGACTGGCCCAAAGATTCCACCTTCCGTGGAACAACACAGGCCTGTAGCTACAGTGGAGCATTTTGGGGGCCAGCCCCCTTAATTAAAAGCCTGGTCCCACAAAAAGCCATGCCAGAAACCTTTTTTTTTGGGGGGGGGGGTTTAAAATATGTTTGTATGCATGTG